GAAGGGATTGTTGGACAGCACAAGGAAATGGATTTGCTCCTCCTCACCTTTTTTCTATTTTGGCTTGGGGTTCTTTTTCTTCCCTTGTTTTAGAGGCAGGGGCTCAACCTGATCTGGAAGTTAGTCCGATTTCTGTAGCACGGCTCCCGTCAGGCTCGACTGCACACACAGGAAAGGCACAGAAAAGGGTGAGGAATGTGAAACTGAGGTTGAGGAGCAATGATCTGTGGGCTGATAACTCAAGGCAGTGACAGAAAGCATAAAGAGCCTTTTACATGCTTGTTGTAGTATTGTCAGTCCAACCTACATTTGAGATTTATAAATAGACTGGGGTTATTTTAGTAAAATTATTCAGAAAACAGTTAATAAAAATTTTTGTGGGTTTATTTGGGATATTTGGCAAGCATAAAATGTAAATCTGATTCAGATTCCTAATAGTTTTCTCAGATGTTAGGATTTCAAACCGAGAGGTCATTGGGCTCCTAATCCCCTGCTAAACCTTTCCCTTATCACGAGTGGGCACGTGGACATCCAGGTCAGAGCCCCAGAGGGCTGCAGAGGGGTTAGACAGGATCAGGTGTGCTCCATTCCTTTACCTCGGGGCCTCATTTCTTTACAGACCTGAAAAGATTTACAGGTAAAACAGTTGTAAGAGGTTAACCAGTTGGTGCTGGAGAGCAGATTACATTGCTTAATTGTGTGTGTCTGACTTTCTCTCAAGTCTCCTTGATTACCAGCATTAAATCCGCCTGTGAGGTCCACCCGTTAAAACTTACACAAGAAGTTTACGATTTCTATTTGCTAATCAGAAAATGATCATGCGGTAAGTGAGTTGCGGTTCTTAAAAATTACTCAAACTGTTGAGCATAGTGTTTGTTCAAGGAGAAGCTCGTAGCTCTGCTTGTGGAGAAACGTCCTGCTCGGATTAAGTGGCGACCACAATCCACATAACATTTTTCTGCAACATGAGAAAGGCTGTTGTGGCACTTTACTAAATTGTACCTCATCGAGGCGAGGGGGTGGATTTAGATTGTGAGATTCCCAGAGAGGCTGTACTATCGAGTGTCATGCTCATCAAGCTCAATTAGGTGGGAGGAAACCAAAGACAGATCACTGTAATGGCTCATTGTACCAGTTGGTGTCGAGGCATAACTCAGACAGGCTTTTGACAGCCTTCTCATTTGTTCAGAGATGACCAGGGACCCAAGTGATTAGCTTTGTTACAAAGCTGTTGTATGCTCGTTACATGGAACCAAGGGCCCAATCTGTCCCTCCAGACTTCAAGGGATTCAATTAGTACATGCTTTGCAAGTCAGGGACAGAAAACATGCAATTTAGGTTCTATTGTTAAAAAACAAGCTTTTTTTTTTTGTCTAACCGAAAACCTAAACTTTTTAAATAAATGAATAAGTAGAGGTTTAAGAAAATAGCAACACAGTAAAATATCTTAATTTTTTGTGTTATGACACTGAATAGATATTTAAAAGCTGTGTATGTGTTTTATATAGAGAATTTGCTTTTGTTTGGTGCAGTTTAAACTCAGTACCATACCGATTTATTTATAACGGCTCATTTCAACACAGTGTGAGAGCTAACCAAAGCACCTTACAGAAAGTCATAATTAAACAGAATAAAAGCAGTTCAATAAAAAATAAATTGGTAAGAACAAGCAATAAAAACAAGTAAAACAACCAATAAAACAACACAAGGCTATAAAGCAAGCATAAGAAATGGTCATATTTCAAAAGCTAAGTCATAGAAATGAATCTTCAGTCTTGACTTGAAGAGAGAGGCCGATGAAGATGACCGTATGGAGATAGGGAGGGAATTCCAGAGAACAAGTGCAACATACACAAATCCTGCTCACCCTCGCTTTATAGTTCATTTTGGGGGTCCTCAGCAGCAAGGGGTCAGCTGTCAAACAGCGCAGTCGAAAAAAAGCACGATGTAACAACTGCATTTATCTGAGGTGCCACTGAAAACCCTGTGTCCAGTTTCACACCAAAGCTAGTGACGCATTGTTTGGGTTCAATACACAGTAAATTGGGGACAGATAATGTGCGTGAAAGGTTTCTAGGCTCGAGAAGAACCATCTCTGTCTTTGCTTCATTTAGACTCAAGATGTTTGTAGCTAGCCATTCCTTCACATCGGAGAGACAATTTACCACTTGGACGTCGTGGGCGATGGTGGCACAGGAGTTAAGTGCTCGCCCCGTAATCGGAAGGTTACAAGTTCGAGCCCCGCTCAGTCTGTTGCTGTCGTTGTGTCCTTGGGCAAGACACTTAACCCACGTTGCCTGCTGGTGGTGGTCGGATGGACTGGTGGCGCCTCTGCTTGGCAGCCTTGCCTCTGTCAGTGCGCCCCAGGGCAGCTGTTGCTACATCGTAGCTCATCCCCACCAGTGTGTGAATGTGTGTGTGAATGACTGATTGTATTGTAAAAGCGCCTTGGAGGGTTCGAAAACTCTAGATGGCGCTGTATCAAATACAGGCTATTTACCATTTACCTCTGCATCTGATCCTTTTATTGCCAAGTAAAGATGTGATAGCTGATGCCATGACGGTGAAAACCCTGTCCCATAGGTATAGCAGACAAATGGGAAATAGGACCCCGACTAGGTTATTCCACATTCAGTCTGACGGAACAAGGTCTTTCGATAATACTTGATGCATCTTGGAAGTTTCTGGCCTGAGTTTTCGTTAAAATTTCTTCTGAAAAATTGCAGACTTTGTCTGGCGTTTTGTATTGTGAAATATCGTAACTCTGTACTTTGTTGAATATTGTATTGCCAGATTTTTGCCAATACACTCCAACTATGTATTAGCCCTATGTATATCTGTAATAAATATTTTTGAAACACCAAAAACTTAGCCAGACCGTAGCAGAAGCAGTATTGTGCTCTGCATGTCGGCCTAGCCACTCTCCATTGTAGCGTCAGCAGGCCCAAACAATCTTGTGTCTTGCCAGTCCCAGCGCAAGACTGTCGGTTTAGTGGGCAGGATGTTGCTGCAGTTGAGTGAAACAACAAATATGTCAGCGGCGGCTTGTTTGAAATGGCTTTGGCATCCACTTTGGGTAATTTAGACGTGGGCTTTTCTTTGAGTCAAGAGCAAATATAGGTACCTAAGTCTGTTATTTAGAAAATGGATGCATTTGGATCTTTGATAGTGTTTGGCAGACTGCCCTGTTGACAGACATCCATAGCGATTATTACATCATGTTGTTTGTTGTCCAAAAGCACGTGGAGACAGTTTGAAATACAACTGTAGATTCCGCCTCACGACTGAGATCTCTCTATGGGTCGTGGTCAGACTATATATTCACATATATAGGAAGGCTTGCCAGGCTACCAAAAGCCTAACTAACTCTGAAAAGCTCAAGGTTCAAATTGTATTAGCCCCCCCCCCCCCCCCCCCCCCCCGGGGACCATTACAGTCTTCATTATACACAACTTAGGACAAACATTTGGTCAATGGAGTCTCCATGTAACCTGAAATCTATTGACCAGTGTGAACTCTATCTCTGTTTTAAAACATTTCTTTGCCAGTAATTAAGTCTGTCCTGCCTTGCCATTTAATCTGTGATGGGAGATAACCCCACACTATTGTGCTCTTCTTTACTTAACAAGTGCATAATCTCAAATACCACAATAGACTGAAGTCACCCAGATTAATTCCTGTGCGTCAGAGGAATGCACACGGCTGCTTGAGCCGTTCTCATAAGTTGTGTGTGCAGCATATAATTATACAAAAGAAAAGTATTTAAGTTGTCGTTTTGGAATTTGCATAGAAGCTTATCTGTGCCCTGTGTTCACTCAACAATCTGAGTCTGAGTGAGAATCTGATGCTGCGAGGCTGCACACAAAGTGTAGTCTGGTTAGGTTCTCATGTTACGCCCCTCTCGTTCCACAGTCTGCCCTGTCAGTGCTCTCAACTGTTAATTTAGCTTCTTTTTTTTTAAACTTTTTCCACTATCTTTAGTTTTTATTAGACTATTTGTAACTTCAGCTCACGTTCATGTGTGAAATAGTTTGATAAAAGTAGTTTCTTGTATCTTTCTTGGGCTTTATTGCAGTTTTCAGCTGATTTGAACTTCAGCCAAACACTCAAAATGTTGTGATTCTCACATTAACACCACGTCTCAGTTTTACGTTGCTATGTCAATATTGATACAAAAAAAGGTCAGATCTGTCCACTAAAAATTCAAAGAGAAGGAAAAGAAAATAATAGAAGTTATTGACAGACTCTGGCAAACCCCCATCTGATGTGTTTGTACCGCCGCTGTGCCAGCGTGGTTTGACTGAAAACTCACAGCAGCTGTGAAAGGTTCGGTAGATATCAAAATGTTTACCAGTTGGAGTAAACATGGCCTACTTTTGGCTCTGCAGAGTGGGATTCCATTCTTCCAGCGAGCAGATAGGACACGCTATTTCTCTAATGGCTAAAATATACAGTTGTCAGAAAATATTAACTGATGAAAAGGGCGAGGGGGAGTAGCAGTCACAGCAGAATGATTGGTCAGTTATCTGAGGCATTAATCTTCTCTGCGGCTTGTTGTAGAGCAGACGGTACACAAGGGGTACTCTGGCCACTGCCTGGGGCCGCCTGGCTGCTGTTAGGAGCTGCTAGGAGACATTATTTTATCTCTCAAGAGGAAATGCTGCAACATCTCTGCCAAGATGGGACTGAGATTGCACTCAGCACCTCGAAAGGTGGCTGCAGAGGGGAGTCTCCACATTAAGTAGCTGATAGGAGTGTTTTATTCCTCAAATCGGCTTCCATTCTTGCGCTGTCAGTGTGATATACTTCTGACTGGTGGAGACAAACGGCACCCTTAAGAAACCACAAATAAAGCAGAGTGTGTTTGGTTTCCTGATGCCTGCAGATAGTGTTGTCAGTACTCGGGTCACATTTACATCCCACTGGTAGTGTTTCTTTGAGGAATTGCAAAGGGAGTTTTCCTGTAAACCCTGTGATTAATTTTCTCGTTTCCTTGATAGATCTCTCTGTGCTGCTGCTAACGTCTACTATCTAGCATGTTCCAACTGCTCCTTCAACTGCTGCTACGTGCTGTTCAGCAACAAGATAGTCTACCTCATGGACCTGCTGCTTCATCAGCTGACGGTAGGCTAAAGGAAAAGGAAGAAAAAAAGAACAGATGCAGGGTATTTAAACGTTAAGGTTTTCTTTAATTCTAAGCTGTAGAAATAAAAAATATTTGACCTAAACTTCTTTCACTGTATGACTGGAGTATTTGAACTTTGTAACAACAACAAACTCATGTCTGGGAAAACACATCATTTTTAAAAAGATTCTGAAATGTTGTTACAAAGCCTGCATGTATGTGTATATATATAATATATATATATATGCATATATGTGTGTGTGTGTGTGTGTGTGTGTGTGTGTGTGTGTGTGTATTTTTTTGGTCCATTTTTAAATGACTTTTTATTTATTGAACATCTTTTTTCTGGCATTTATGAGCCAATTTACAGGTTACTCCCAAGTTTTAACAAATTATTTATGAATTAGCATTTCATATTAATATTTTTCTTTATTCTCTCACACCAAACCAAAATGAAGGATTAGATTCTAAAATCGCTAAAAAGTTTGGATTTTTTGAGAAATTGCTTCTTGTAAACTCTTCCCTTTAAACGGGACAGCAGTAGCTCAGGAGGTAGAGCGGGTTGTCTAGTTATTGGAAGGTTGCCGGTTCGATCTCGGCTCTGACCAGAGAATTCTGCTGTTGTGTCCTTGGGCAAGACACTTAACCCGCCTTGCCTGCTGGTGGTGGTCGGAGGGACTGGTGGCGCCAGTGCTTGGCAGCCTCGCCTCTGTCAGTGCGCCCCAGGGCAGCTGTAGCTCCATTGTATCTCATTCCCACCAGTGTGTGAATGGGTGAATGACTGATTGTGTTGTGAAGCACCTTGGGGGGTTGTTGAACCCTAAGAAGGTGCTAAACAGGCCATTTACACCAGTTAAAAAAACGTGTGAGCTTTTTGTTAAAAACAGCAAATAATACCGAACTATTTCCCAGTTTCCACCGACGTTTCCTGACAGAGGGGAATGTGAGGTTGCAGGCAGGCTGCGTTGCGACGACATGTCAGCCCTTATCCTTCAGCACTCTGTTAGGACTGTAAACACCAGCTCACTCCAAACATCCAACAGTGGCGGCTCGCTGGGGCCGCCTACGCTCACAGCGTAGACGGGACAGGGCGCAGGCCACAGGGTTGATGTGCATGCATGAACTCTACTGGGGCTTCCTTCTTCAGCCGAGTTCCAATCCAAAGCAGTCATGTTTCTCCAGGGCAAAGAGGGAGAAGTTAGCTTGTGTTCTCCAGTTTATATAAAACATCCCAGCAGCTGCTCTGCTGACGGACATCTCTAACAGCGCTGCAGGAGATGAACCAACTCTTCTTGTGCTCCCACTGTCCGTTTGTGGTGAGTTGAGTGGAGTTTTTGACATGCAGGTTTGCTTTAGTTGATGCAATTTTAGACTTGCACAACGTATTTGTGTGCATGTCTGCATCTTGGTGTGTGTGTGTATGTGAGAGCAATAGAGTGCAGGCAGTGGGGGTTGTACTGCCATATGAGCAGCCCCCCCCCCCCCATTTAATTAGATTTGTGGAGAATGTCGGTGGATTTACCTATGCTGTCAGCATTCAGCCCGGCTGTTGGGAATGTTTTACCTTTCGCATGCTTTCACACAAAACAGAGGCACTATATCTCAAACGTGGACCTCCGTTTATGTGTTACACATGAAGTTTGGAATGCAGATGAGAAAAATGGCCGCCTTACTATTTTGTCTAAATTCTTTCAAAGGCCTTCAGACTTTGAAAGCTAAAATGGTAAATCTGCAAAACGAGCTAGCTTTTCCTCATGCCTCTTAACAACGTTCTAACATTGCATAGCTATGTGGAGTTTAAAAAATAAAATAAAAAAGTACAGAAAAGAAGTTATTAAATTTGTTTTTTCTCATTTGTCTACAAACCTCAGCCAATAACACGGCTCGGTCCAAAAGGTTGTCTGTCTCACCGAGCCGCCACGCATCTGCCTTTACCTGGGTCCTCCACTTATTACACGGTTGCACATTTTACAACAGAACACCACTGGTGTGAGAGGTTCTGTCCAAAATAATATCAGAGAAGGAGAAAAAGCCAGCTGCACTCACTTTAACTGTAGGACAGACTACCAAATCCCCTCCCAAAAAAAAAAAACATTTGAAGTTGTGCAAAACGAGACATTTTGACCTAGAAAACTGTGACTGGTGTTTAGCGCTCTTTTGTTTACTCTAGCAATGTGCGTTCCCATATCAAGGGGACTGGAGGGTTGACAGCTCTGTGACTGTGTTTAACAGCTAGCTTGTTTTACGGATTTGCCATTGCTTCTTTAAGGATATACCTGGTTTAGAATAAAAACCATAGACCATAGTCTATTTATGTACAAAATTCATGTTTATTTACTCAATTTTTGTGCGACTGAATAAAGGTTTCAAACTGCAGCAATCCCACTTGTGGCTATTATTAATTTTATCTACCAATTATTGCCTTAGGTTTGAAATAATAAAATGATTGTATTTGTCTTGTAAACCCGGGAAAGAAAATTTTACACAAACAAAAGGCTTCTGTGCTACTTTGACGCATTTTTAGGTTTATACTTAAAGGAAAGTCAATGAATAAATTGTTTTATGTTTCTGACAATAATGCTGATTAACAATAGTTTGTTTCATTAATCACATTTTTGTCCTTCTGTTGAATCAGCTGTACGTTCCAGATGAAGACAAGTCAATTTTTGGTCGATCTGTGAACAAACAAGTCTTTGAAGGTCTGACAACAGGCCTGCTTCAGACCATTGCCACCATCTTGGATTCCCTGTGGCCGTTCCTTTCTGAATCAGGGCAAACCGAGAACCCATGGATCCCCTCCTCAGATTCCAAGGTCAAGAGCTCCGCCGCAGAGTCCGTTAACACTCGTGCTCAGGATCTAATCAGGTATTTCCCTTTCAGAGATCTGTGTAACTCTGTGTTTCACATCTTCCTACATGGCACCTCTTTTCCTCACCTCACAACCTTTTTACCTCTTTAAGTAGCACTTCTCCTCCGCTCCCCTCCACCGGGCTGAGAAGTAGTCAACATCCGATTTCTCCAAGAGCGTGCCATATGTAAGGAATAGGCTAACAAAATGTCAGATCACTTGGAAGCTGTCCAAGCAGTGTCTTGTTAAAATGGGAGTAGTGTGAGAATAAGGTGTGCTGTGGCGTCCTCCCAGCATGCTTTTTTTTCACACAACTTCTGAAACACAATTTAAGTAATATCGGTTTCTGTGGGGGCTTACGAAGTCGCATAAACAAAGAGCACTTCCAGAGCTTTGAAAGGTCCCCTTGAACCTGACATTTAGGCTAGCCCCTGTGGGTCTGGACTGTAGGAGTCGCAGCTCGGATGGAGAAAAACGGACGATGAGGAAAGGCAGGCCCAGCACCTCGAAAGCCTCACGGACTAGTGCTGCCTTTCCACCATACCTCCCACAAGCCATGATTCATCTGGATGGAGCAGCTGTGCAAGCCCACCAATCTCATCCACTGACCCAGTCACAACCCCAAGTCAGAGGGGGGGTGAGAAAAATAGTGTCGTCAGACTGATAATCTCAAGATTTACATCAACTGTCCTTTTAATGTGTATGTGAGGAAGGACAAAAGATGAAAACATCTTCAGCTTTTGCAGCTCCCTCTCTCCCGTAGCACCAAGCTTCGTGTTCACTGTTTCCTTTCTGCTCTTTGCCTGTTTCACAATTTTCTTGTTAAAGTATTAAAAACAAATAAAGCCATACATTTAGTTCAGGATCCCAGGTGATCTTCAGAGCTAGGGTTAGGTTTCTCTCAGTATGAACTCTCTGAATCACCTGTTTCTAGGAAAACGTCACAGAGTGACTGTTTTAACAAAACAGAACCAAAAAACAAAAGTGACGAACCAAAGCAGAAACAAGACAAGAAACCAACCACAACTGTGATTTATAAACTGATTGGCAGCTGTATTGATGTCTAGATTTTCATAAGCTCTTCATGTTCAAAGATCTCTGCATACCAGAAGCTTCCAGAAGACTAGCCCCAGGTCAGTGGACTGTCAAGAGCCCAGAGCCGTGCTGGCACAGGGGCCACAACAGCCATCTAATGACACAATTAGGGGTGATTTGTGGCTGAGAGAGTACAGGGAACATGATCACGAGTCCTGTCATTGGCAAAGACAAATTGAAGATATCACAGTAATAGCATAGGGTGGAGGGCTTAGGTGAGGTATTGGCTTACAGCTGTAGAGCTGTGGGAGTGCACACAGTAACGGCCTTTGTTAGCTTTGGTGAAAGGGCCTTTTTACAAAGAAAATGTGTGTTTTAGGAGCCCAAGTAATAAAGCATGTAATGTTTTTCTTTTCTTATCTGTTTACTGCAGCTACGTGGTAAATGTGGGGTTGATTGACAAGCTGTATGGGTGCTTTTTATCCGTCCAAAGCCCCGTAGACGAGCACCCCAAGATGTCCGCCTTCCTCCAGCAAGCCTCAGCTCTGCTGCACAGCATGTGTAAACTCTGCTTTGTCTTAACTGGACGGTGAGTTTCTCTCTCATTATCTCTTGATCTTCCTCTAACAAACACACACCTCTGCCTCAGTCTTTGTAATGACAGAGGCTCAGTAACTATTGGCATTTCACTGTCAGTCGGATCCATGAAGACAAGCTCACAGTTACTCAAACGATCAGCCAGCAGGTCATTTTCTGCAGCCGGCGAGCTGGCTGAAGCCGTCCTTGCTTCATATAGAGATAGGCATCTACTTGACCCAGCGCTGTGTCACTCACCATAAACCTTAGCCTGCAGCATAGGAGGGAGCCCACCCACATGTGCCACGGTGACCTCCATTCAGAGAGGTTCAGTGGCGCCGCTGACAGAGGCTAAGCACACAGTCACACCGAGGGACATCAGCACTGCAATTCTCACTTCAAAAGAATAGAAACATTGAGCCTTGTAGCACAGACAGGTAGGATTATTTTTTCTCCATGGAATGAACCCCTGGGTCTTTTAGATGTAGCACAGTAGAAAACATCTATAAATGCGAGAACATGGTGTCTTGTCATTGTCCTGTCCTGTTTTATGTTCTGCTAATTCTGAGTGTCGCACATACAAGATTGCTCAGCAGGCCTTTATTCAATGCCAGTTGCTGTGTCAGGGGATTATAATAGCATTTAGAGGCTGTGTGCTTGCCTAGCAGCATATTTCATGCAAAGCCTGTTGGGCTAACATCAAGTATCAGCATGCACTGTCGGTTTCATGTCGAGGTCACAAACCCTCTGTTCTACAAAGCTGCAAATCACGGATGGTTTGGCTGCGGTAGTCTGAAATCGTCTGCCTGCTCCAGCAGAGGGTTTTCACTTGCCTGAGAACATTTATATTAGTTCAGTTTTTACATTTTTACACCTGACACACACACACACACACACACACACACACACACACCCACACCACTGTAGAAATACTGAACACTCTGCCAGTGAGACAATGTAGGAATATAGCAGTAAATCAGAGGGATTTACCGTGATTCCAGTAATATGTGCTGGTTAGAGTTGCTGCCTCATCCAGATTTCTGCTGATCTGTATGTTCTCTCTCTCGTCTGCATTGGGGATGTATTTAAAATGCGTGGGGCATTAATATGCAAATATGGAACCATCACTCGTGTTCGACATGCTTTAGGAAAAAAAATCACATCTTTTTTCTTTTTTAGCATCTGCTTTATTGTGGGGGGGGGGGGGGGGAGATCATGCGCACAACAAAAGTTTATAAAGTGCAAGCATAAAATGTAATTACTGCACATTATGCAAATATTGTGCACTTTATTTCTATATTGTCACTTTTAAAAAAAATTAGTAATTATAGGAAGTTTTCAAAATAAAAGGCCTTGTATGTGTTTTAATTGTTTCTGTATGGCCCCATGCCAGTAACAGTTGTTGGTCCAGCTTTGGGGACCCCAACAAGGTTTCCCCTATGTTTCCTACAAATTCTGGTTTGAAACCTGTAAAACTAATTGAGATATTTAACATGCTGCTAGTTCAAATCTGTTGTTTCTCTGCTTAAAGCAGTAGCGAATTACATCAGTTTGCACTTCAGGACTAACACAATGTTGATTTGTCAAATAAAAGCCCTTTCTTGGCTTTATTTTGCTAATGAAACTGAATGAAACCGTCAGAGAGAAAGGCAAGTTAACACTTACTTTTGTCTCCTTTAGTGCTCCTAGTATATTCGACAACAAACGCCAGGATCCAACTGGACTCGCAGCCCTTCTGCAATCTACTGACCTTGTGGGAGTGGTGCACACTCTGTATTGTATCCTCCTGCACAGTTTCTCACCAGAGTCTGCTTCCCAGAGTCAGGAGCCCTACAGCCTCGAGGTCATCCAGGTGGCTCTGCAGGGCATCCGCTTCCTCAACAGCTTTGCCCTTCTTGACCTGTCTGCCTTCCAGGTAAGATGGGGAAAAGACCAGTTTTCCTTATAATGTTTATATCTTATTAAAAAAATGTTGCTGCTGCTTCTTCTTTTTTAATTTTTTTGGCTACAGAGTGTTAGTTGACCAGAAATGAGATGTTATGTATCATCAAAAGCAGCAGAATATATAAAATTCACCACAAATATTTAATACTCTAAATGTAATGGATCTCTTTAGTGATCAGGTGATGTTGAGAGCTGTTTGAAGAGGAGGTTCCTCATCCTAGATCTGAGCTGACCTGTGGACATAAACATGGATGCCCTTTGACCCTGGGTCATTTTTTGAGGTTGAATGGAGCGCAGTGGGTCTGCAGTTAGGATGAAACACAAGTGATTATCACTGTATTTGCGGCAGTATGTTATCCAGCCTGATGAGGACAGGGCGACAGCTCCACCGGGCTAAGTCGGCGCTCAGACAGACAGCCACTACGCCAAGCCAGAACGCTGTTAATTATTTTAATGCCTGGTGGTAATCACTTTGAAGCAGCTTCCTGTTACTGACCCGCCACATTCGGGCAACTGAAAACAGCTGGAAATGAAAGCATTTCTGTTCTGGAATTTTATGAACATTTTAAATTATCTTCTTCCCTTTTTGGCTGAGTTTTAATCACCTTGTGTTTCGCATTACTTCACTACAACAGCTTATACGCAGTCACTGTAGCTGGATTATCAAAATTCAGACCACTAATTCACTCTTCTGCTAAGCTTCCAAATATTGTGTTCAGATTAAATTTATCTTAAAAAATACTATTAATGTGGTAAATTAGCTGTCAGTAGTAATAGAATTTCATTAAAAATATTAAAAGATAGAAAACGGTAAAATATATTCAAAGTCTTTGTTGTGAGCCCTGAAGCCAACCTAGTTTAGCTCCTCAGGTGTTGTTCACGGACGCTAGCTCTTCCTAGCCTCCAGTCCAAATTACAATGATCTTATGGTGCTCTGTCACACTGGCATGTTTAATAAATATTGTCTGCAAGCTCCACCTAACAGCTCAGGTTGTAAGTAGGATTGAGTTGTTTTACAGTTGGTCCTTGTTTGATTTGCTCGTACACTTGAACCGTTCCTGTTCCCACCAGATAAAAACAAGGAGTCTTGTTGTTTTTATGCTTTACGTGGTAAAGTTGAGAACTTTGTACTGTTCCGTTTATTACCAGGACTGGACACTGACATTGTTTGCCTGTTGTTGACCAGTCCGTTCTAGGTGCTGAGGGCCTGTCTTTAGCTTTCCGACACATCATCAGCTCTTTGCTGTGGTACTGCGCCCAACATTCATCAGAAGAGCTGCTGCACGAAGTCATCATCTGTGTGGGGTACTTCACAGTTAACCATCCTGACAACCAGGTAATTACTCGTGCTTAATAACTTCTTGTACTGATTTGGTGGACCTTCAGGTATGACAATAAAGAAATATTCTATTCTATTGTAACAGCAAAGTCCTTTTTAACATAACATTTATTATTTTCTAAAAATTTTGTGAAAATTTCATCCACTTAAATTGTTCGAATCGCTCCTTTTTCTCGAAATAGTTGCAACTTTGTTTCATATGTCGCCAACCCCTCTCAAAGTTGTCTCGTTCTTCTGTCTTTCTGACTTGATTAAACTAAATTGAGACATGTTGCAGACACCTGTGACAATTGTGACTATTTTAAAAGAAAATTTGTCTCAAAGATGTGAAACATGATGGTCTTACAACTCACACTAAAGAAAAACCAATGTATTGGGAACTCAATAATTTTTTTAAATTAATGCTGTTTTCAATTTGTCATCTTAAGTCGCAGCCCAGTAAGAGATAGTCTGACTCCTCAGTAAGGCAGGAACAAAATCATCAACCTGTTAGAAAAAGTGTGAGTAATCATCGACTGATGCTGGTTTTTCTATCGCTGACATTTAAAGGTCGTGGTCGGCTGATGGCCGATATGTGCTGCAGATGTTGTTTGAATGATTTTTCTGTCTTATTTATTTACCTGCTACAATGCCACTAATGACATTGAACGCACAACATTTCTGAACCTGAATTTAACCAACTGTTGAATTTTTGTTTTGTGTGCAGGATTAAAATCAAACATTTAACCAGAGTTAATCAAGCAATTCAATAAACTAATCAAATATTAATATTTCAAAACAGGTAAATTAAAAGAAATGTCAGTAGACAAAAACATTTTAAAGCATTTATTAAACCGATGATTTTCAGGGACAAAAATATACAAATTTCTGCAGCAGCACCAGACTGCCCGCGGATGTGCCTGACTTTAAATTGCCTGTACTAAAGAGGTTTGTCGGCAGATGCAGTTTAAATAAATAAAATGTTGAATGTCCTATAAGTAAGCATTCATTATAGCATCTTACCATAAATTTTACAGCAACCCGGGAATTATGTCCAACATTTTCACTGCTGTTTCTTTATTGCTAGAACTCTTTTCTGCGTGGGCTGACTAATTTTTTCATCATAAGCTTCAGTAAACTCTTTGAGTTGAATAAAGTTGTCTATTTAGGATGAATAGCCTGACAGAATCATGTTTCTATTGTCCTGCTCATGTATTATTTGTCAGAAAAAGGGTGTAGTTTTGTAATTGTAACAAAAAGCACCTATTTAAAGATTCATGGCTTGGCACCTTCCCGCCTTTGGTCTGTGTGTCGCCTTTTGTCCCACAGAGTGAGCCTTTGTTCCCCTCTGGAAAAGCAGGGCAGTCTGCTTGCCCCAGCATTACAACTACTTAGGGGGCTGTGTGGAAGTGAGCAGGATGTGAGGGAGTAGACCTGGCTGCTGTGTAGCTGGCTGTCATGCATGGCCCGTCTACTGGGCCGCTGATTAGCCACGATACAGTTGGCTGGGCTTTGATTAGACTGAGCCACGCGAGCAGCGGCCGCAGCTTTGGTCTCTTAGATCGCATTTTATATCTACACAGTTGCTTACCCGATCAGGACCATTTGTGTGCTAATTACTGATTGTGGTTTCCTTATTTTTTGAATAATATTGTCTTAGCATCGTATCTCCTTCCTTTAGGTAAGGCACATTTATTTATTTAGGACATTTCAGAAACAATTCAGTGGGCTTATTTGGTGCAAGAACCTACATCATTAAAATCAACATGACACCATTAAACAGGAGATTATAAAATCAAATTTAAAATTACACAAATATATTAGATGTAAGAAATAAAATAAAAGCCCAGAAAGCGCCCGTGTCAAAGGGGAGAAGTCAGAGGAGAAAGTAGCTTCAGATGCTTTGGAGTCTTACGTCCTGATATTTGGATGTCTCGCCTCCGATTTGATAACGGCAATGTGGATGTTTTATCTCCACAAATAACACAAGCCAGGAGGAGTTTCTGCTGTGTGGTGAGGTTGCTAATGCTAACAGATAGCTTCTACTAGCCAAAACTTTTCAGCCATCTGCTGGATGCTAAAACAGCCTTCCCAGTTGCGAGTAAAGACCGGTGAGTCCAAGCTACAGCTTGACGTAGAGCAGTCAGTCTTTTCAAATCATAGAGTTTCACTATCTGTTTTCTATCAGAAGCTAATGCAGAAGATCGGTGTAGGAGACTATTTTCATGTTCAGCCTGCATGAAAACTCAAGAGTGACCAATTCTAATGAGAAGTAACCATTATTTTCAGCAAACCACACCTTTAAAGACTGTGCAGCTACAGTGCAGAAGGTGCTGCTTATGAAACATTTGTTCAAAGGTGCACATGAAAGTTTTCAAATTTGATTTAAAAGTTACTAGAGTTGGGGCAGATTTGAGTTAAAAGAATCTGATTCCATCAGTGTAGTAGCTAAAAAGCAGCTTCACCTTGTTTGGTTCTGACCTGGGGTTCTACCAGCTGACTGTTTACTAAGGATCTCAGCGATCTGCTGGGTGTCCGTACTGCAAGGGGATCCAACATCTGTTTTAGCCCCATGCCATTGAGTGATTTATGAAAGAGAAGATGGACTTTGAAATGGATTCTGTAGTTTACTGGTAACCAGTGTAGAGATTTAAGAACAGGAGTGATGTGCTCAGTTCTCTTGGTTCTTGTTAAGACTAGCAGCACCATTCTGAATAAGCTGCAGTTGCTTTATAGCCTTACAATCTGATCTAATTGTCCTGGCTGGCAGAATTGGTATTTGGTGATCATAATAGCTCTAATTAGCATTTTATGGTGAAAATTTTAATGAACTAATTCAATTAAACACGAGATGAACATTTTATTCAACCTACTGGTTGTGCAGCGCACCAGGAAAAAGCCCAAAGGTGACGGATCATTTGCTTCTCTGGAACTCTCTCCCCCTGAGATCAGTGGACTCAGAGGTCTTTTTTAAAAAGCAGCTGAAAACTCACCTGTTCAGGCTGGCTTTTCAGTAACTTATGGTTAAATAGTTGTCACTACCATCTCCTCATGCTGCTGCAGTTCTGTCTTTCTGAGGATCATGATTATCTCCTCTATTTATTTTCTTCCTTCACATTTTTAATCAAATGTTTTCATTTTTTTAGCCCTTTTTGCGCCTTGTGATCTTATCTTGAGAGGCGCTGTAAAATCATGTCTTCTTTTATTATGATACACCTGCAAATTATAGAGAGCAGCCAGATAATAACATTTAAATGAGTCTGTTCATTCTTGACAAAGAAATGTCAACTTTTTTCTAACACTACAATTTGCAGAGGAAAAAAAAAACCTCCCAACATCTCTGCGTACAGATTGTCAGGAAACAGGATCCAACACAACTTCACATGGTTGATCCTTGCCAGTGGTCCAGTTCCTGGAACACGTCCATTCAGTCCTCCACCAAGATGGATGTCTTCAAGGAGAATATTTGGAGCAGCTTGAGCTTTTCTCGAGCTAATGTAAGCATTGGCAGGACACAAAAGCGGCCCGACCCGAGGCCCTCTGCAGTTGCGGAGACTGCTGATTCACTGTCGACACACCGGCTTTTGTTTATATACATGCCTTAGAAATAAAGCTGCTCATAAAAAGCAGAACTTTGAAGCAGCCCTATATGTAGTGATGTATTACCTCTGCTTTGAGGGGGTATGAATTATTCAACTTGCTGCAGAAAAAGAAAAAAAAATGGGAGAGTGACATATGTAGGCTTTTGGGTTTTTTATACGAGCATCTCAGCTTATGAGGGCAGCTGAGCCATGTAGCCATATGTTTCTTTGTGTTTTGAGTGCGTCTGTGGAGACCTACTGACAAACAGAGCTAATTAAATAAACGTTGTCACTGACAAGTATCTGCACTTCCTCTTTCTCTCAGAGGAGAGACGCACTGGTAATCTTCATGTCTTTACCCACACTGATTCATTCATTCATGATTCATCCACGGCAATGATGTGTCGGGTCTTTTAGCTAACGAGGTGGTAATTATGATATGGTGACACCTTAGCCCGCTTTATTCCAGTGTATTTTTACAAAGATGAAAGCGATTACAGTGCGTAGAAATCTTTAAAAAAATATTGGCGTTTTCTTTTCGGTTCATGGAAAAGCGCCGCTCCCTTGTGAGCCTCACAAAAGCTGTTAACGTCTATAAAACACACTCCGCTCTGATTTCAGCTTGTTTACAGATGTTTTAATGTAGCGGTATTAGTTGCCCCGCAATGTGTCCTGAGACCCCTTTGTGCTTATATTTCATAAACAGTTATCTTTACACCGACCGCCGTCCCACGAGCTTTTGACTCATCTCTCAAAGGAACATCTAATACACACACACACACACACATATCCAGAGCTTATCTGTGGGGTCAGTCCTCTCCTTCCCATTCTCTTTGAGGGCGTTTCCTCCACCCTGCAGGCCCGAGTCAGGCTTTAGGTCTGTAATTCCTGTTAACCTGATGTTGAAACTCTTCCTTCAGCAGTCCATTACTGCCAAGACAACCAAGCCCTCACAGCCTGCGGGGTAAGTGCAGCTCGTGCAGACCATTGGGAGCCAGCAGCGGGGGAATACACTCAGTGCATCACCCAGCAGAGTAAACACAGGCAGAGAAACACTGACACACACACACACACACACACATGCGCCACTAACTGGCAGGGAATGTCTGATTGTTAGCTCGGTACATGATTTACACGCCGCTTCAAGGGTGAATGCAGGTCCAACCGACTTTAAGTGAAGCCAAGGACGTTTTTATCCTCGCGAACCTTTCAGTGAGAAGTTTCCATTTGTCTGCAACGCCGTCACCAGGTTGGTCTCCGAGCGGAATTATCAGCAGCTGAATCTGGAAAGGAATGACAGCCTCAGCTCACAGAGATAAATGAGAGTTATTACGTTTTATTGTGTAAACAGCGGGCTTCACTGTGTTTTAAAACCAACAGACGGTCACCTTAAACATCAAGTTGGAGTGTCTTTGTCAATGTCTGCTAGCATTGTCCAAAGGCAGTTTACACGGCGTCCTGCACACATCCCAGGAACTCGTTGTAGAAGTCGTAAACAAAAAAAGCCCTAAACCTTTTTTTTTTTCCTCCTCCTCTGAGTAACTTTGTGCTGTCCGCTCTGCTGCCTGTCTTATCAGTAAAGGCGTTCCATTGGATCTGGTTTATATTGTGGATTCGAGTGTCAGATATACGGCCCTGCTGCGGCTCGAGTTCCTCCTGAGGTGTTTGGACCATCTAGACAAAATGACTAAAACTTCCATCACAATAACTGACAGAGATTTCACAGATATACAATTACAGCAAAGAGTTAGCAGCTTGTTGTCTTCCAGACTAATAATGACATTTCAAATTTTATTGCAGGGCTGAAAAATGACTGTTTTTGAAAATCAGTTCTTTAATCTATGGGTTTGCCCTTCCTTGCTTGGGGTTTCCCGGGGATTTGTTTTGTTTCGAAACATTAATTTTACGCACTCTTTGTTGTCATTGTGGACAGAGAGGAAGTTATGTAATGGAGGCATCGTAAAGCTGTTTGAAAACAACCAGGTCTCTGAACTTAAAAAGAACAGATACACTTGAGTCTCCTCTAGAGTTCTGTTTTGAAATGTGGACCAGATGCACTGATTCAGATTCATTTGCTAGCTGTGAGTTTTATGATCTCAAGCTTTCAGCCAGAGATGCGATCGCGCATAGTCTCAGTTTATGTTTTTAATCCTTAAGTTTGGAAAACTGGCAGAGTGCATCTCCAGACTCTCGAGCCTTTTGTTTTATGTCTTTCTTCGTTGGGCACTTGAGGGTGGACAATTTGTTTAAGCAGCTGAAGATGGAATGAAGATGCCTGCTGGAGGATTATAAGATTGCTGGCTGATTTGTAGCTTGGATCACTCGAGACTTCCAACTCAAACATCACCTGCTTGCTGTGGTGTTAAATTATGATACATAAACTCTGTGGATTAAATGCAGGAATGAAGAGGTTCTGCTTTTGCAGAATTATAGCTCCTGCTTTCTGGTGATTTTAGCTGCATATGATCCAGGAAGGATTTAGGGATGAAGAGCGTAGAAGGAAAATCTTCTTTAAGGAAAGCAACTCTACATCTTTTTCCAGAATAATGTAAACACATAACATACCAACAAAAAGCATGTTTTAATATTTGTTTTGCTTGATTTCTTATCTTCTTAAATTAACATTTCAAACTGTCAGGTCCAGCCAACTTAACATTTTCGAGTATTTCTCAAGTCTTACATTTTCCAACCCATCTGTGGGATTTTCCTTTTTTCTTTTCAAACAAATGATGATTGGAAGTGAAACTGTTTTGTGTCCTGTCACACACACACACACACACACACACACACACACACACAAAGCAGCTGAGATGCTTCAGTTTAACCTGATAAAAGCAGTGACCTATCACTTTGTTTATCCTGCTGCTCAAACTTGGAGTGCATTATCAAAGGGTGAGCCAGTGGAAGAGTATTAGTGTGTATTTGGGAAAAAAAGATCTTGTAAATCCCAAGAATTTATGTCACTGTGACGGTGGGACCTCTGGTTTCCATTGAGTTTAAAGCAGCACAGCCTGGATTTAGCATGGTGGCTGTCATCTTCGGCGTAAATGACCAGACCTTTAAGCTTGGATCTCCATCTAATTACATTTTTTGGGGAAGGGTGGGCTGGATATGATGTGTGAATAGGAAGGGTAGAAGTTTGCACCCTCCTCAGTTTGCCCTGTGAATGCCCTCTTAACCTGAGCCTCACTCTTGCTGTGGCTGCTTTTTAGAGAGCCTAACAGACAACTTGAAAGTGAAGTCTGAACCACTAATTATGAAATGAGTTCATGTTTCTCATTTCCACTCATGCTACAGTTCTGCTGTTGACATTTTTGCAACAAAACATCCCATCGTTGTGTTTTATAGTCTTTAATTGCGCAGTGGGAGGCTCTGCCCCCCCTCGAGGTCTCCTAATGGCTGTTTGTGTGTTGTTTTAGTGGCAGATTTACATGTGGGAGGGACACGGGGTGGTGATTTACAACCAGCAGTGCCACTGGCTGGATTAGTGACTGACTGGCCCCGCTTGCTGTGTGTTCCAGGTGATTGTGCAGTCTGGCCGCCAGCCCAGCGTTTTACAGAAACTGTGTCAGTTGCCCTTCCAATACTTCAGCCACCCACACCTCATCAGAGTGCTGTTTCCCACCCTGATCTCAGCCTGCTACAACAACTCTCAAAACAAGGTCATCCTGCAGCAGGAGATGAGCTGCGTGCTCCTGGCCACGTTCATTCAGGTAAAAAAAAAAACACAAACGCCACCGCAGTTAAAGTGGATCAGAATCAGGTAAAAATAACGAAGTGTGGGAAATAAATCTGCCTCTGTGCTGTCACTTAAACTTTGGTTATATTAGCTGTGCTTTAGCTAATTGACGAGCGCTCAGCTGAGTAGCATCCATAACAGGCAGGCAGGCTGTTGGAGATAAATGGATTCCTTCACGCTGGATTTACCTGCCACTGGTTCACCTCCCAGTAAACAGCTCGTCTCCTTCATCTTCCTCTGACAACAAGTCCTCCTTGCTGCGCTGCAGTCACCATTGTTTAAACACTGATTAACTCCCATTCAGACGGAGACAAGCTATTGTCATTTCTTTCAAACAAACCAATAATGCATGGCGTCTTGCCCCGCTGCCCTGGAACTGCGTTAAGCTCCAGAGCATTCCTCAGAGTGAACGGAGAAGAGTTGTTTGTTGGGATGGAATCATCAGAGCAGCCTTAAGTGTCCTGATGTAGCGTGATTTAAGGTGGTTTTATTTATTCTAAGTGGAATGTTTCATATGGTTATTTTTTAGGACTGTGCCACAAATGAGAAGGATTCAGATGGTAAATCCAGTAAAGCAGGTAAGGTTTTCTGTTTAATTAAATTAAATTAATATGAATTGATTTAACGTAGCAGATTTTTTTTGTGAAGCGGTTAAATTTGTCTTATATATTAATTATTCCTCAACTCTAGTTATTTTTTTGTATTTTCAAAACATTTTTCTTCTGAGAAACCTGTTGATTTTTCCTGTAATTTCTTTAATAAATAAAGATATTTTTGTCAGACACCAGGTCTAATTAGTTGTTTTGTGTCTGTCTGAAGTTTCCCAGTGGCTGTTGGATTACTGTGAATTGTCCAACCGCTTTCCAAGAGATCAGTGGGATTCCGCGTTGCAGTTTTTTCTCAAGAAGCAGGAGTGATGGAGCCGACCTCAGAAATAAATTAAAAAGCACAGTTTAAACACTACAAGGTGTGGGGGAACTTAGTTTGTTTCTGAATTTAGGTTTTTATCCGAAAAGGATGTTCAGACTTTGTTAATGTGACGCCTAAGCGTTGTTGTTAAAGAATTATTTGCACAAATTGCTTTTTTTTTTTATTATTATTGTTCATTAGATTTAAAACACACTAGTCTAGTTTCTGTGTGGGGAAAAACGTTTGTTCCTGTTGTCCTGTTGATAATAATAAAACATTTACCTAAACTGTTATTTATACATTGCCAAACATTTTCATGAGCACTGTGTTATTTATTGTATTTGGCTGCATATTTGAATGTTAATAAACATTTCTGTAGTCTTTACAGTGCCACTTTCTGGTTAAAATATTCAGAGTTAAACTTTTTTTTTATTTTAAGGAGCATTTACAAATTAATATAATTTAAGTTGTTTGCAAAAATTACGTGTTTACTGTGTTCAATTCTTGCTTTTCTGGCCAGTTAAAAGAGCCAATGCTGAACACAACTGTTTCTCTCCTCTTTATGCAGTTATTTGCCTGATTCAGTTTCACAGAAATGTGGAGGAAAAAAGCACCTTTATGGTTAAAATCTGAAACATGTTCTCATAACTTCAGTTTTTTTTTTCTGTATTTAAACATTTAATTCAGCATTTTGACATCTAAAATAAAGTTCTTTTTTCATCACTAAAATGGTTGCGTTTTCATTTTGAAAACTTTAGATTTAACAACCCTAAAAATTACACAAAATTCAGGTTTTGTAATTGTGTTTACTATTTTATTTGTTTTCTTTAGCAAAATCTTTCATATCAGAAAGTCTCTTTCTTCAATAGAACTCCAGTCCGTTTCCTTAAGCTTAACCTCTCCTACAAATTGTTGAGGTGTAGTGTGTCCGACTCGGCCTGACCTGCCTGCTCTTTTGTCCAGCGGCTATTTGTCGTTCAAGATTCCTGCTGGAATGAAAATAAACTGGAGACGCGCCGGGATGCGCCCTGGTGCAGACCCGGAGTCCCCTCAGCGCTGCGCCTTTGCGCGCTCAGTGGATCCTTTACAGGTGATGCCGGGTGGAGATAAGAGGCCGCCGCTGCCTGCAGCCTGTCTAGACTTGTCCTCCCAGCTAGTCCTCCTTTTCATGTGTATCAATCATCCTAATAACAGCAAAATTGTGTATTTATATGCTGCAACAACCTTACGCAGATTCTCCATTGGATTAAACAGCAAATTAGGATGTAATCCTAGCCAACAGAATCATCCAAACCTTCAAAATGCGCACGAAGTGTCTGCAGCCTATTGTTGCTGATGCTGTGACCCCTGACCCAGGGGGCAAATGCTTCATAATATCTTGACAGCAATCAGTCACTGATCCACTTGGCTCAGAATGTGAGCAAATAAACCAGATTAGTAAAGTATCGAATCTAAACATGCAGGAACTCCGGATCTGCAGCTTTCTGCAGCGTGATGGAGAAACTCAAATCCTTCCAACTGCACTTCAAACAACATTTAAAGTAGATGGTTTATTTTTTCGACTTAATTAACTTTTTTTTAAATATAAAAGGTTTGTGGAACAGATGGATTATGCATGCAATACGCAGTTGTTTTATTGATTAGATCAGCTTTCCGTACCGGTAATAAATAATCTTAATAACTTATTTGGGGAGAAGAAGCGGCAGTGCGCCTCTCATCTGATCCAATAACTTATTCAGGAGTCGGTGAAACATCATGCACATTTGTGTTCTTCTCACTCATACTGAAACCTTTTGGGCGCGAGGCTCGTGTGCGTAAATCCCGTCACATATTCACAACGTGTCCAGGTTTATTGGCAAAGTGTTCTCAGCTAAGAAGCCCATGATGTCCGTGTCCAGCAGAACCCCACCCCCAGTTCCTCCAGTCCGGACCTGGATGCATTCAGCGGCGTTAATCCATCCTGGTTCCGATGGGGGGGTCTTTGGCGTGAATGAGAGCTCCACAGGAGAGGGGAGAGGTGGCCTTCAGCTGCCCCGGTGCCTCCTCACGTGTCCACCGGACTCGGGACCATACTGTTCGGTGTGTCCGGTAACTGAGACGACAGGGAGGTCACATCGCTGCCTGAGGAGTTTCCCAGAGAGCCCGACTCAGAAAAAGACACCTGAAAGGAGCGAAACAGGGTCAACCCAAGCTGCTCCTCCTTATAGATGAGTTCAACACTTAACCCATTAAAAGTAGAAATCTACCTAAATCCGTTGTCAAAACCTGAGTTAAAACTTTCAGAAGAAATTGCATTTAAAAAATCAGTTGGATGGATGGAGAGTTTGTCATGGCAACATCCAGATAAACTTAAAAACTACAAATAAAAAATAAAGTTACATATCTATAACATACAATATGCAGCAGTGTAGAGCACGTAAATAATAATGTTACAAGTCAAAATATTCAAATAAAATAGAAAAAGGGCGCTATAATAATAATGATAATTGTACCAAAATCACTAAATGACGCAAAACAACACAATTCAGTACATTTCAGCTTTAGATTGATAAATATAATCAACTGACCTGAATTACTTCAATATTTTCCTTTCTCTTTCTTTTTCCTTCAGTATTTCTTTTTTCCTATCGAACTGGGATGTTCCTCTTACCAGTTGCTGGAAGGCAGGCTGATCCAGGTCCGTCTGCAGGGCGAAGTCACTGAGGGTTTTCCATGGAGGCTGGTAGGTTTGCACCTCCACAGGATTCCCCTGCACAGTGTTGTCGTGCCGGATGGGACTGCCTGCCACTAGAGGTGTTCCTGTCAGACCCTGCAGGTTCTACAAGAGGAGATTATCAGTTACTTCAAATGCTGCACAGAAAATTGCATTTCTTGTATAATAAAACAAAAAAAATAATCCACTTGAAAATGCATCATGAATATCGAAAGAAAACTTTGACTCATGCTCATGTGTTTAGCTGGAAAATATTTTATTTAAACATGCATTTTAATTTCGATTCATTAAAATGAATCAAAACGCATTTATAAAATAGCAGAATTTGCCGCGTAGATTTTGTTTTTCCTTTTTTTCTTGCAACAATGTTTTTATTCGGACTTTTCACACATCAACCTCTTGTTTGTCAATAAACATTCATTCAATTAATTTCCCCAATTAGGAACTGTTGCATGAAAATCCCTGCTATGTGTCATGCATAAATAGAAAGCATTGTTCCTCACGGTTTTGTCGCTGTGCTGCTGCTGCTGGAGCTGCTTCATCAGGATGGACTTCTTCTTGTCCTTGCAGCGCTTGTTCTGAAACCAGACCCGGATCACCCGGGGGCTCAGGCCGGTCATCTCCACCAGCTGCTCCTTCATCAGCGCGTCCGGCCTCGGGTTGGCGTTGTAGCAGGTCCGCAGGGTGTGCAGCTGCTTCTCATTCAGCACCGTCCGGACTCGGGTCGTCTTCTCGGATTGTTTGTGGACGTGGTTTCGGTGATGAGGCGGGTGCCGGACCGAGACCGGGTCTATAAGGCAAAAAGGACATATTTTTCAACAAATACCCTGCAGCAATAATAATAATGATGATGATGATGATGATGATACCTGCAATGTGCAGCGGTCGGGTGCGGATGTTCACGGGACTCAGCGGACTGCCTGCAGAGGCCCGCTCCACCAGCAAACCGTGATCAGCCCGACACAGCAGCTCGTCGTCCTGCAGGGAGAACTCGTCCCCCGGCAAGAGGTGTCGGCTGCACACAGAGCACCGAAAACACTCCATGTGATACACATTGTCCCGGGCCCTCATCACCAGGTCACTGCTGCAAAAGCCCATGTCACACTTTGCGCACTTGATGCCAAATAATCTGGAGAAGGAAGGAGCGCGCATTTACAACACTTAATTTGCATTTACAACAATACTTGCACTTCCCTGCGTTCAAAAATTAAGACGATTTTTTAATTAATCCACAAAAAAGTCAACCAGTCCTTCATACACACCGTGCATAATCTCTTTTACAGTATGTTTTCCCGTCTCGGACGAAGCAAGTGCACGTCTCGTCCAGGTACTGGTTGCACTCTGCGCACTTGAGACAGGCTGCATGCCACTCCAAGTCCGGAGAGACTCTCAGGATGTACTGGTCGTGTATCTGACTTCCACAGCCCACACACATTGCAATTCCCGACTTCTCTGCGGAGAAGAACCAAAGCATTAATGTAAGACATGCATGCGCTCTTTTAATCCTGATTAGATCCTTTTAAAACCACCTCCATACTGACGAGAGGACTGTTTAGCACAACAAAGCAGAATATTACTATTATTACTATTGTTGTGATGAATGAAAAAGCTATATCACTGTTTAATGTTTTAACAAGTATTTCTATGTACCTTTTACCCTTTTTAAAATATTGATTGTTTACAATTTGTTGCTTTTTTTGGGACAAAAAGTCGGCAGCGACAAATAAAAATCCGACAACAACTACCGAGAAAAGACAGAAACGCGTCTTACTTTTTGAATAATCCCCCATATCATCCAAAAAAGAAGTGTTGATCAGGATGTCCACCATGCAGGAGAAAGGTCGAGGGCTAATCTGACGGATGGAAGAGAGGAGCGCCAGAGGAGACCGTCCCGTCCCTGGCCGGATGATAAACTTGTATTCCTCCTGCGGGAGGTGGAGAGAAAACAAAGACCATCGACCAGTGACGTCTGCAAAAACCCGGACGTGTGTGGGTCCGGGGAGAGGGTACCATGTAAGTCTCCTCATGGCCCCCCTTGCTGCTCTTTTTATTGCTCTTTTTTGTTGTTGTTGTTCTTTTTGAGTTTTGAGTGCAAACATGGCTGCGTGTCCAAGCGGGACGGTGCATTTTTTTCTTACTAAACTTGCTGAATAATAACTTGCACTTCAACATTTTACTCCTCATCAGAATCTCCATATTTTATTTACAAAAATACTTTATTTGGTGGGTTTTAATCTCAGGTGGCATTAAATAAAATTAGGCAATACAACATTTGCACGCTATATTTTTATTTATAGCCTATGTAGGCAAACAAAACTTAACACATTTTTCGTTCTTTAATTTTAATATTTAATTTGAAACATTAATGTGGTTTGGTTTATGTGGGTATAACAAGTATTTAGTCGTACCGCTGTGGGGAGCCCTCTACTGGGGGAATTTTCGCACGCAGAATTTGAATATCAGTAGGATGCACAGTTGGGGAAATTGCACTGGAATTGGGCGTTATCAACAATTAAACGCTCTTTGTTGTTGTTTACCAACAAAAGGAACAAATTCTGTAACTCAAAGCCCATATTATTTTCCTTTTTTATTTGTCTTGAATTTTCTTTCAGACCATCTGTTCCTATAATTGTCACGTGTATGAAAGTCCATGAGGTAAATTGTCAAATTAAACTTCAAAAGTTTGTATTTTTTTTACATAAACGCAAACGATTTAATAAAAGTTACCACTTATAATAATAAAAATAATAATAATTATGATAATAATAATAATAATAATAATAATAATAATAATAATAATAATAATAATAAAAATCATCATTATTATTTAACTGATTACCAATAAAATAACATTCATGTGGGTAATGAACCCATTGCTGTTGTTGAAATTAAATAAACAAACAATAAGGGAATAAAATATGTTTATTCAAACACAATTTAAAAGTATTTCAGTTGTGCTTCATTCATCTCTTATTTTAATTAATTAACCCTCTGATGCATGAATTATGAGATCTTCAACCATGATTTTTTAAACAATTTTTTTCATTCATCTTTAGGTGTGAATGAAACAAATTTCAACAAATATTTTTGTAATATTTTGTTAATTTACTAATAATTTATTACATGTCCATCTCAGTGGACAGTGTGCATTCTGAACATGAAATATGTTGGCTTGACTTACTGAAGTCCAAATGGAGGGGCTCACATGCAATAAAGTCTTCAACAGCTGTGCTTAATAGCAAAAATAAAGAACTAACAATTTTGAGTACCTGTCCACTGTAGTGACCATTATGCATCAAAGGGTTAACACGTTATTCTCAAAATATTTACATATTTTGCTTATATGACCTCTTCATGTAATTTGTATTATTATATCAAAAGGTGTCAGAAATGAACTTGACAGACAAAACTCGTCGATAATTTATCAGCTAGTTTTCTGCTAAACTGAAACATATTTGAACCTATTTAGAGTTCCTGGTTCTTTGTCAACATTATTTATTTATAAAAATAATTAAGATGATCAAAAGGAAAAATAAATCCATAAAGAAAAATTACACCCGTAAGGATTTATAGTGAGAATGAATACTAAATTCAAAATAGCTCAAATAATTAACAGAATGTGGCCAAATAAAAACACATTAACAATCACAAGACATGATAAAAATTAGATTTACACAAAAACCCACGCGATAACACATACATGTAAACAAACGAGCAAATTGTTAAATAAAATGCAACAAAAACAGGTGGAAAAAGACTGTGTGTTGCTCTACAATTCTGCAAATTTCCCAGTTGGAAACATTTTTGCTTTTCTGTCAGATCAATGAGCAGAGCTGGACTTGGTTTGTAACTATCGCGAGATTTCGTTAAATACGTCAGAAGACCTTTGGCACAGATCGGGAGAAAGCGTCCTGCAAAAATCTTTCTGCTGCTGCAGCAAGAATAAAGAGACAAATATGAACAGAGTTTTGACCAGAACATCCTTGAAGAACTTGGTACGTACACGACTGGGCCCAAACAAGCTGGTTCTCAGTTAGCTGTAGCTTTTGGCGACAGACTTGTGGCATGTTTTTTGTAGCAGCTGCTAACTGTTAGCCTTTTTCATTCAGAGATAGGTCGTTCTCGTTTATTATAATTAGGGCAAATTTAAATAAACACTGCGTTCTTGTAATTTAACAATGAACACATTTCTGTTTTCGATATAAAAGTAAATGCAGACGTTTTTATCTCTGTGTGGCAGACAGTTGTTAGCACTGTTAGCCGTTATAAAACCTTGTGTTGCGAAACTGCTACATACAGGTGTCACCTATGTAATGCAATGATCTTACAGTTATGACAGTATTCCATCAAAACACGAGGTTATTAGTGTGTTTTTCTGGTGTTAGTATATTGAATAAAAGGTTCAGTTTGTTATACGTTTCTATAAAATTGTTCTTAAACGTAATTACATAATTTTATAGGCGTTTGATGTAACTGGCTTCATATAAGAGACTTAAATCTAACGCATGTATTATTTTATGTTCTATTCTGTTCTCCTGGCTTTATCTGAATGACTTTACCTGAAGACCATCACTAGACCAGGCTGGTATTTTCCTGTTTGGCTTTGACTCTAAGCTGATCCGGAGGTTCTTTGCACACTATCGTAATGCTGTATTTGCATTTTCCCTACACTAGATTGTGAGGTCTAAATGATGATGAGTGAATAAATAAACGAGTGACTAAATTAAAGCTAATATTTGTTCATTCATTAATTGGGTACAACACACTAATATTTAGCTGGTTCTGACTGAAATGTGTTTTTCCCAACAGACAGGCTTTGTCCAGAGGTTTCAGAGCACCTTGGTTGTTGCAGAACACAACAATGATAAGTTGACCCCCATTACACTCAATACCATCACTGCTGCCAGTAAGCTCGGGGGAGATGTGTCTTGTCTGGTTGCTGGAACAAACTGTGCAAAGGTAGGAACATCTTTTGTCAATTTCAATAATCCACACTTTGTTTTGGCTGAAAGTTGTATGATTTTACGCAGATACATTATTTTGTTTTTCTCCTTTCAGGTTGTGGAGCAGATCAGCAAAGTACAGGGTGTGAAGAAGATCCTGGTGGCCCAGCACGAGTCTTACAAAGGTGCTTTGCCAGGTAAGGTATTTATTTCACAGTAACTTCCCCCTCTTTTTTTATTTTCACATTTGCTTTACTTGACACGTTTACAGGTTAATAATGATGTTTATAACTAGCACCCCTGCTGACAAAGGTCAGTCATTAACCTGAATTTGTTTTTTACCTTTTTTTTTCTTTTAGAGGAGTTGACTCCACTCATCTTGGAAACACAAAAACAGTTCAGCTTCACTCACATCTGTGCCGGTGCATCAGCCTTCGGAAAGGTAAGTCACAGTTCCCCGAGTTTCATTTAACATATTCTGATCTATTAAAATGAGCAAACACAAATCTTACCATCTTTACTTCCTTTGACATCTGTTCTTACAGACATTTATGATCAACAGCCCAATATGTATTTTTTGTCTGATAGAACCTGCTTCCTAGAGTTGCTGCCAAGCTGGATGTTGCCCCAGTTTCAGATATTATTGAAATTAAATCTCCAGATACTTTTGTCAGGACCATTTATGCAGGTATGGCATGTTTTGTGCACAGTAGGTGCAGGACCTTTTCAGCATATATCCTGGTTCATGTATTTGTTTTTAAATATAAATATAATTTGAGTGCAGTCTTTAGTAAAACCGTAAGTTTTAGCCCTGTTTTGCTGCAGGAAATGCCCTCAGCACCGTGAAATGCAGTGAGCCAGTCAAGGTCTTCACCGTCAGAGGGACATCTTTTGAGGCAGCTCCAACAGAGGGAGGAAGCGCTACGTCAGAGGAAGGTAATACACACCTGTCCAGCTCTGAAATCAGAGGTGAAAATCAAAATCATGTTTTAAATATGTTAATCTTCCTGTTGTCTGACTTGCAGTGGCTGCTGCTCCCCCTGCTGGGGTTTCTGAGTGGCTCGAACAAAATTTGACCAAGAGTGACCGGCCAGAGCTGACGAGTGCAAAGGTTGTGGTGTCAGGAGGTATGAACTCCCTACCGAGATGTAAAAACCTGTGCTGAACTTTGAGAAATTGTCAAATGACATCATTTATTTGACTGTATTCCTAAAGTTTTACAATATCTTATTGTTGAATAAACAAAGATTAGCCATCCAAAATGGAAATTGCTTCTTTTATTTTAGGAAGAGGCTTGAAGAGTGGAGAAAACTTTAAGCTGCTTTATGACCTTGCTGACAAACTGAACGCTGCTGGTACTGTGTGGTCATTTTTTTTATCATTTATTATCCTTATGGGTACTTTTTACCTGTTTTTTTTTTATTCTAACACTCCTTTTTATTCCAGTTGGTGCATCCAGAGCTGCAGTGGATGCTGGCTTTGTCCCTAATGACATGCAGGTCGGGCAGACGGGCAAAATTGTGGCTCCAGTATGTGGATAAACCCATTTTTATGCAACAAATCACGATAAATGACAAATGATATAAATAAATATTAAAACCAAGTTAAGTTAATGTTTTAATTTGGGCTAACTACAGTTAGCCCGTTAGCCCTTAAACCGCATTTCAGTGTGATTCTGGAGACTGCTCCTTTAAAAAAAAAAAAAATAAAAGGTTAACTTGCCATCATGTGATTTATCCAGGATACTCCACTTGTGATTATCCACACATTAGATCTTGGGGAAAGTACATGATGGCACTTTTAGGGCCCTAAATGATTTAGCTGATCCATTAGAGCAGAATACAGCAGATGTCTGCCCAACCATACCAGACTGTCTGTTTTCTTTTAGTTTTTTTTCCCATTGTTATAATACATTTCTGTTCACACATTTCAAGTTTACCTCTCTGAAACATCAGGCTGTGCATTAAAGTTACACTGAATATTAGTGTTTTATTTTTTAATTATTATTATTATTTTTAATATTAGTTTTGGGTTGGATCAACCTTGTGGATCTAGAATAACCTTTAGTGTCTCTTGTTTTCTTTTTGTTTTGCTCGTAGGAACTTTATATAGCGGTTGGTATCTCCGGAGCCATCCAACACTTGGCTGGAATGAAAGACAGCAAGGTAAAGTCACTAGAGAAACGTAGATGGTGTTTTTTCATTGTCTTATTTTTTCTTTTGAAATTTAAAGTTACACCTTTTCATTTAGTTTAAAAATGAGCAAAGTTATTGCTAACATGCTCAGTTTAAAATTAGTAATAAAACACACCACCTGAAATGAAACAATCAGCTTTTGGTGAATTTTTACATGTAAACAGACTTTATTAATTGTAATATTTAGGTTTACAAACACATCTGATCTCTTTTCTTGCTTTAGACTATAGTTGCCATCAACAAGGACCCAGAGGCTCCTATTTTCCAGGTTGCTGACTACGGCCTGGTAGCTGATCTTTTCAAAGTAAGTGTCTTGGATTATTGTTGCAGTGGCAGTAAAATCTCATATGAGACTCTGAGGAAGGAGTTGCTGGACTCTCTCTGCATGTTTTCCAGGCTTTTAGCTGTGAATGACCGTAAGAATATATAACATTTGTTTCTTCTCTTATAAATTTTGCACGATGCCTTATTCCACCTCATGGAAATGTGCAGCTTCTGAATTATTAAGCTGTTGAATTAATCTAAGGAGGGTTCTGGCCGCAGCTTGCTGCTAAGACAGGAACACATTAGCATCTCTGGGGATATAAAAAACTGATCCAGAGTGAGATAAAAGTTGGCCTCAGTTTTGCTCTGTGCCTCTAGCTGCCAGGCCTCTTATACGCTCAGTTGCATTCTTGTGTCAAGTTGGTACTTGGGGATATTGAGCCAGGTGTACTGGCATGACTAACAGCGGAGTCCAGCACTGCCTGTGAAAGGCTAGTAGGTTATATTTTCATGTGTGTCCTGTCGGTCATATTTTATTCAGCCCATCGGTGGTGCCTGAGCAGCCCAGGTGTCCTGACAAACTCTGTAGGAGTGATTAGTAATAAGCTGGTGGCAGCAGAGTTGTGACCTGCTGGGTGAGATCCCCTTACATGTGATCACTCCTCAGATAACTGATTAAAATGAATGGGCTTTCTACCTTTTCCCAAATGGACAGGTGATACCCTGCACCGGCACGGGCAGCGACTGCCGGTTCTCTCCAGGAGTCGGGAGCAGAGGCATCTCATTTATTTTGCACTTTACAGAGGACTGCTAAATGTGTTTTTTCTAAAGAAGGAAAAACATTTTTTTGTCACTTGTTTATTTATAAACCAGTTGTGTCCAATCTGGATCTTGGTTGGTCCTTATTACCCTGATCATGCAAGTCGCTGCATAATAACCTCATTAATGCTCTGACATGTAAGTCATCCATGTATTTTTTATATATAACAGTAGAAAGAAGTGATATGATTCAGTCTTTACAAAAAATAATTAAGACCTAAGATTTAGGCCCATATATTACCTGAATAACTTGATTAATGGGTCATTTAAAAGTACACACATGGGCTGAAGGTGAGCTGTGCTGCTCAACTAAACCTAATATCAGGATTTTTGGATAAACAGTAAAACTTTATTACCTTTTTGTTACTTTAAAACTCACTTTGCTGTAATCAGATAAGCATCGATTCTGGTTTTGTGAGATCTAAGTTAGAGGAATGATCACAGCAGTTGGAGCTTCTGTGTGTATGACACACTGAGGAATGATGACACCTGTCTTACGTGATGGTGGTAAAACTCTTCCTGTGTTTTCACTCAAGGCCGTTCCTGAGATGACAGAAGCTCTGAGCAAGTGAGAAGAAGAAAAAGCACCACAGCTGGAGTAAAAGATGGAGAAACTCGGCCTTAAACTGCTGAATCTGTGGTTTCACACAGAAAGTGTCATCGCCAACACCCCAAATACCAGTTTTTATGTGTACTCTGCAGATATTAATGTGTAAAGTTGTTCTTAACTTTTCTCCTGTCAGTAGTACATCACAATTTCTGTTTAATGAGCAGCAGCAACTCAATCTTTTTGACTTAACTGATGTTGATCTCTACAAACATGTACAGTACGTAAAGCGATGCTTTTGAAAGGCAAAACAATAAACTATTGGCTTTAAACTTGAATAACTTTGCAGTGTTTTTGCTTTTTATTGGGTTTATTTTGCTCATCAGGGACTTACCAGTGAATACTTCCCCAAACAGTTTCAAATGAGATTACAAATCTTAAAAAGTTTGTTCTAAAATGAGATCATCAGTAAGTTTCAGCAACTGTATCTCAGTGCTGTGATGGTTACTGTTCACATGTTCTTGCATCTTTTTAAAGTTAATATATTTCCTTGAAAAAGACAAATGAAAGGCCAGATTTCCTGCTCACGTTGTCATTAGGAAATGTGTTTCTTGATCTGCTTTGCTGGTTGGTTTTATAAAAAATATGAAAGCTTTTATTAGTGTCAATTCCTGAAAAGTGTCACCTGATGCTTCTTCATCCACATGCTGTGTTTGTGCCATGTTGGCAGGTTCGTCTTCTCAGTTTGAGCAAAATAAAGTCCTCAAGTCTTTTAAATGCAGGTGCAACTCTCGTCGGTGTGAGTTGGTAGTTTTGCATCTGAGCTGAACTGCAGGCCTTGTGGAGTCTTATGTCTCTGACAGGCGTTTGACTGAGGTCTCTACTGGCCCCATCATCCGGTATTTCTCCTCCAGAAGAGGCTCATTACCCTGCAGATGGATGACAGTCTTCATGTGAAGCCCGATTCGGCTCTCCTGGTTCCGCTTGTTGTAAATGTTGACCCTGTGTTCCAGTTCTGGACTGTTATTTGTGGAACCTGTGGGACTGGGCCTTTTGAGATTGACAGGGTCCAGACCCTTCTGGGTGAGACAAGAGTCCTCTGAGAGGGAGGAGAGCAGCTCCTGCACCACAGCTCTGGGACTCCCTTGTTGCTGAGTGCCCAGCGCTAGAGGGCTGCTGTAAGGTGGGGGGTAGCAGCGCTGGTTGCTGTAGTCTGTGGAGGTGGAGTCCTCGCGCACCGTGGAGCTGTAGTCCATGCTGGATCCCAACGTGTGGCTGCTGATGCTGTGCTGGCGGGCGCTGAAGCTGGTGCGGGACACCGTGGTAGTGGACGCTTCGCTGACCGAGCTGTTGGTGCGTTGCAGACGTCCGGACGGCACCGCGTCCACACTCACCAAGGAAGAGGGAAGCTGACTGGGGTTGTTAGGCAGGTGAACATCTATGGCTGCTGTTGTGATGACACGGGCCGGGTCTGGGATCCCCATGTCTACAACACAGAACACAAGAGCTTTAAAAAAAGTGATGTTGCATGGAGGTATGATGCTGAAACGGAGATGCTCACCACTGCTTGGCTCACTGTAGTACTGGCTGATGTAGTTATTCATGTCATCCTGACCATGATGATCTGAGAACATTAAGTAGAATTCAAAACAGTTGAATCAAGGACAAACCACAAATTAAACAAACTACTATGATTAATTCTATATCCAATTTTTTTTATATGAACGCTCATTCGATCAATGCATTTGCAGTGGTCTCTGGTAGGAATTATTGCCTTGCAAGTCATACTCTGGGCAAAAGAAGTCCAGAGACGCCTGTTTCAGCAAGGAAAATTCAGCTAGAAGAGAGAGTAGCTTCAGACATAAGATTCGGAGTCTTGCTTCCTGATATTTGGACATCTTGCCTCGGCTTGGATAACAGCAATGCAACTCTACCACTGACTCTGCTTTGCAACATGGATGATTTATCTCCACCAATAACACAAGTCTGGAGGAGCTTCTGCCGTGTGGTGGAGTTGCTAATGCTAATGGTTAGCTTCCACTAGCCGCCACTTTCTCTGCTGTTTCCCGCCTCTCCCTTTTGCGAGTCAAGATTGATGAGTCCATTAATGCTAAATGACAATGTGATGTAGATCTGCCAGGCTTTTCAAATCCTAGAGTTTCAATTTTCTATCAGAAGCTAATGTAGGTGTAGGAGACTATTTTCATGTTCAGCCTGCATCAAAAACTGAGATTGACGGATTATAATCAGAAACAATAATTAAAAAATAGCTTTTCATTGTTCCACACCTTTAAAATTAAAATAACCATTATAAGAGAGTTCCACGACAAACCTTCTTGCTCAGCACTCCAAACAAACGCGAAACTGCCAAAAACTTTGTTCCACGGCAGTTTTCTCTCATGAGAACCCCTAAATATGCGTATTAATATTATGCAAAATCTTTAAAATATCCCCTCAAATATCACACAAATGACTAACACTCGATAAGAGGATGTTTACACACTGTTGTAACAAAAAAAGGTGAGAGTCAAAACTTGATAATTGCGTTTGAGAAATTTTGTGGTGCAGCTAATGGATATTTTAACAATCAGCTGATTTTATGTGAGTTTATGTGTTATGGTATTCCTATGTGTGCCGCAATGCCTCACAATTTAAAGTTTGATATGGCCTGATGTTCTCTGTCAAATATATTGTTTCCATTCATTGATGCTTGTTATTTTACTTTTCTTCTCAACTTTCTAGTCATTTACTCCTGCTCTTTTATGTTTTTTCATATTATGGACCTGGTTGTGTCTGGAATAAAGTTTGATGATGACGACGATGATGAGTATTTTGCAGTGGTGAGCATCAGGTCTTTTTGACTCTGCTGCTCACTGATTTATGTTTGGGTTTCCCTTCCTCGCTTTTACAAGCTCCTCCTCCTCGGAAACCATCTCCATGTGATAAACACCACGTAAGTGTATGAGATTCAGTCTGTTTACCAACAAAGCGGCTGGAGCTATGATTTATAGCTTTGATAAAGAAAATGCTCCTGTGTCTCTGAGCCCTGACATCACCTGGAAAGACGGTGCTCTCCTGCTCCAAGTCGTCTAAGTTATGAGCTGTCGCTGTGTGAGAGGTTTATGGTGCGGGCTGTGACTCACTGTACCGGCGTGGCGCCAGAATTTAGATGGGGAAGGTAGAGATGGATGATGGTGAGGACACTATTGCACTCTTTGATGGATATCCCTTATTAGTGGTGTTATACTCTCTCCAGGTTTATTCTTCTCTACTTTTGTCGACCGTTTCAAAAAGGACAAAAATTTGGATCTATATAACAAAGAAATTCTATCTTAATTCATAGAAAAATGGTCATCTTGTTTTAGGGTTTAATAAGTCAAAATTTTATATCTGATCTAATATTTTGCTACAACTATATAAGTCTCTCTATGCAACTTAAGCTGTAGCTTCTCTACGGACTGGTTTCAGCCAGACTACAAAACTTTCATAGTTAAACTGAAAATATATTTTTAAAAAGCACTTTTATTTCCATGTTTCACTCCTAGATTCTCATTTCTTTGCAGAAATCACTTATCAGAACATATATCCTATAATTTCAGCAAAGTGTCTCCAACGATTACCTGCAGGGCCTCCAGGTCCCTCTCTGGCTTTAGCAGGCCTGTGACGCTCTGGGGCTCCAGGGGTGAGTCCGTCCACCTCCTGGAAACAGCTACTCGGTTTACCCCACATGTGGTGAATCTGCATGGCTGCTTCTCGCTCTGCCACCAGGTCCAGATCCTGCTGGGCCAGGTGGGCTCTCAGCTGCCTGATTTCAAACTGAACCAAAACACTGATTTATTGCCTCTGCAGAATATTTGTTTACATGTTGCATTTTGTTGTTAATTATTTCTCATTTTCCTTCTTTCTTTCTTTTTTTGAGTGAACATTAAAGATTCAGCAGCTGCACTCAAGCTTTTAACGACACTTTGCTCCCCTCTACTGGTCACGTACAGTTATACACTGTCATTAAAGGGAGAAAAAAGAAAACAGATGAAAGGACATACAGCTTGTTCCTGGCAGATCTGGGTAAGACGATCAAGCTGTTCCTCCCTCACTGCCTTGGCCTTCTCGTACTGCTGCATCTCCAGCTCCATTTCCACCTTCACCTGCAGAACATAGGCTATACTCTGACCCAAGTCCCGGGGCGAGAACCACAACTACTGGTCATCCTTTAGACCTCCAGGGGGCACGGCACACCCCCCGGTAGGGATCTTTCATGGCGGTTAAAACGAAGAGTCGGAGTACCCGGCCCGGAGGGTTACCGGGGTCCCACCCTGGAGCCAGGCCTGGGGTTGGGGCCCGTGAGCGAGCGCCTGGTGGCCGGGCTTTCGCCCATGGGGCCCGGCCGGGCCCAGCCCGAACCGGATACATGGGCTCGTCCAACTGTGGACCCACCACCCGCAGGAGGAACATGAAGGGTCCGGTGCAATGTGAATCGGGTGGCAGACCAAGGCGGGAGCCTTGGCGGTCCAATCCCCGGACAAGAAAACTAGTTTTTGGGACATGGAACGTCACCTCGCTGGCGGGGAAGGAGCCGGAGCTTGTGGCAGAGGTTGAGCGGTACCGGCTAGATATAGTCGGACTCACCTCGACACATTGCATTGGCTCTGGAACCCGAGACCTGGAGAGGGGTTGGACACTCTACTTTGCTGGAGTTGCTCCGGGTGAGAGGCGGAGGGCTGGGGTTGGCTTTTTGTTAGCCCCGAGACTCTCTGCCTGTGTGTTGGGGTTTACCCCGGGGGACAAGAGGGTAGCTTCCTTGCGCCTTCGGGTCGGGGAACGGGTCCTGACTGTTGTTGGTGCTTATGGGCCAAATATCAGTTCAGAGTACCCACCCTTTTTGGAGTCCCTGGGACGAGTGCTAGATAGTGCTCCATCAGGGGACTCCATTGTCCTGCTGGGGGACTTCAATGCTCACGTGGGCAATGACAGCTTGACCTGGAGGGGTGTGATTGGGAGGAACGGCCCACCTGATCAGAACTCGAGCGGTGTTTTGTTATTGGACTTCTGTGCAAGCCGCAGTTTGGCCATAACGAACACCATGTTCGAACATAAGGATGCCCACCGGTACACTTGGTACCAGGGCAGCCTAGGTCACAGGTCGATGATAGATTTTGTAGTCGTATCATCTGACCTGCGGCCGTATGTTTTGGACACCCGAGTGAAGAGAGGGGCGGAGCTGTCAACTGATCACCACCTGGTGGTGAGTTGGATCAGATGGCAAGGGAACATGCCGCGTAGACCTGGCAGACCCAAACGCATAGTGAGGGTCTGCTGGGAACGCCTGGCAGAAGAACCTGTCAAGACAGTCTTCAACTCCCACCTCCGGCAGAGCTTTGACCACGTCCCGAGAGCAGTGGGGGACATTGAGTCCGAGTGGGCCTTGTTCCACTCTGCGATTGTCGAGGCGGCTGTTGCTAGCTGTGGTCGTAAGGTGGCCGGTGCCAGTCGTGGTGGCAACCCCCGTACCCGCTGGTGGACACCAGAGGTTCGGGGAGCCGTCAGGCTGAAGAAGGAGGCCTACAGGGCGTGGCTGGTCTGTGGGTCTCCGGAGGCAGCAGACAGGTACCGGATAGCCAAGCGGGGTGCAGCAGTGGCAGTTGCCGAGGCAAAATCTCGGGCGTGGGAGGAGTTTGGTGAGGCCATGGAGAAAGACTATCGATCGGCTCCAAAGAGGTTCTGGCAAACTGTCCGGCGCCTCAGGAGAGGAAGGCAGCAACTCGCTCACACTGTTTACAGTGGGGATGGGGAGCTGCTGACGTCAACTGAGGCTATAGTCGGACGGTGGAAGGAATACTTTGAGGAGCTCCTCAATCCCACCAATGCGCATTCCGAGGAGGAACCAGAGCTGGGAGGCCTGGGGATGGACTGTCCGATCTCGGGGGCAGAAGTTGCTGAGGTAGTCAAACAACTACACAGCGGCGGAGCCCCGGGGGCGGATGAGGTTCGTCCTGGGTATCTCAAGGCTATGGATGTTGTAGGGCTGTCATGGTTGACACGTCTCTACAACATTGCGTGGTCATCGGGGGCAGTTCCTAGGGAGTGGCAGACCGGGGTGGTGGTCCCCATCTTTAAGAAGGGTGACCTGAGGGTGTGTTCCAACTATAGGGGGATCACACTCCTCAGCCTCCCTGGAAAGGTCTACTCCAAGGTACTGGAGAGGAGGGTCCGATCGATAGTTGAATCTCAGATAGAGGAGGAGCAATGTGGTTTTCGTCCTGGCCGTGGAACTGTGGACCAGCTCTATACCCTTGCAAGGGTGATGGAGGGGGCATGGGAGTTTGCCCAACCAATCCACATGTGCTTTGTGGATTTGGAGAAGGCTTATGACCGTGTCCCCAGGGGCACCCTGTGGGGGACGCTCCAGGAGTATGGGGTGGGTGGCTTTCTGTTAAGGGCCATTCAGTCCCTTTACCAGAGGAGCGTGAGTTTGGTCCGCATAGCCGGTAGTAAGTCGGACCTGTTCCCAGTGAGGGTTGGACTCCGCCAGGGCTGCCCTTTGTCACCGGTTCTGTTCATCACTTTTATGGACAGAATTTCTAGACGCAGCCGTGGTGTGGAGTGTGTCGAGTTTGGTGGCAGGAGAATCTCGTCTCTGCTTTTTGCGGATGATGTGGTCCTCCTAGCTTCATCCAGCTCTGACCTTCAGCTCTTGCTGGGTAGGTTCGCGGCCGAATGTGAAGCGGCTGGGATGAGGATCAGCACCTCCAAATCTGAGACCATGGTTCTCGACCGGAAAAGGGTGGCTTGCCACCTCCGGGTCGGGGGAGAGGTCCTACCTCAAGTGGAGGAGTTTAAGTATCTCGGGGTCTTGTTCACGAGTGAGGGTAGGAGGGATCGGGAGATCGACAGGCGGATTGGTTCGGCATCTGCAGTGATGCGGACGCTGAGCCGATCTGTCGTGGGGAAGAGGGAGCTGAGCCAGAAAGCCAGGCTCTCTATTTACCGGTCGATCTACGTCCCAATCCTCACCTATGGTCATGAGCTTTGGGTAATGACCGAAAGAACGAGATCGCGGATACAAGCGGCCGAAATGAGTTTCCTCCGTAGGGTGGCCGGGCTCAGCCTTAGAGATAGGGTGAGGAGCTCGGACATTCGGGAGGGACTCGGAGTAGAACCGCTGCTCCTCCGGATCGAAAGGAGCCAGTTGAGGTGGTTTGGGCATCTGGTCAGGATGCCTCCTGGACGCCTCCCCGGGGAGGTGTTTCGGGCATGTCCTGCCGGCAGAAGGCCCCCGGGTCGACCCAGGACACGTTGGAGAGGTTACATCTCCAATCTGGTCCGGGAACGCCTTGGGGTCCTGCCGGAGGAGCTGGTGGACAAGGCCGGGGAGAGGACGGCCTGGAGCTCCCTAGTTGGGATGCTGCCCCCGCGACCCGGACCCGGATAAGCGGAGGAAGACGAGACGAGACGATACTGTATTTCTGTTCAGGGAATAAAAGCAATGTGAATAGTGTTTTGTCAAAATTCAAAGGACTTTTATTAAAGTAACTTAATAAAATATGACTTTTGTCAAAAGACTGAAGGATTAGATTAGGTGCATTTATCAACATATAAGCAGATAATGGGAAAATATCAGGGGTTTTCCTCTAATCTCCCCTTGTAAAACACCCAATAGCCACAAGGGGGAGCCACAATGTTAAAAAGAGCACTCAATTTGCTGACTGTAAAGGACTAATGGGCCATTCCCATCTGTACCGGGTCGGCCCGGGCCGGGTAGCGTAGGTTGTTTACATATCTGGGTGGCCTGGTATTTTTCCGGGCCGACCGAGGCTCATTCTCATCCCTCTTCTCGAGGGGGTCTGCTTCAGGCCGACCAGGGCCAACACACCCACTGCTGACAGCAAATTCACACCTTCCATTAGAGCAAGCCTCTGATTGGTGGGTAGAATCAGCCCACATGGGCTTAAGGCAAGGATGTGTGGAATCAACCGGGCCAGGCTGGGGCCGACTGGGGCTACCCAGCCCGGGCCGACCCGGTACAGATGGGAATGGCCCTAAAGTGTTTCAGGCTCACCATCTATGATTCTCTTGATCCTCCATATGCGCAGAGTGATGATGAGACCAATAGCGTCCCAGGGGCTGCTGGGGCCGTTGGCCACAGTGGAGGCTACCATGGGGGCCAGCGAGAGCACGATGACGGCTCCATCAAACACCTGAAAAAAGCATTTATCTCACTGATGCTACTGTCGATGGGGTCAGGACTTGGGATGAATGTGAGCTTACCTCTACTTTGTTTTCTATGTAATCCCATATCCCCAACACCACGATCCTGAACACCGTCTGAGACCGGAGCAGAAAGGAAGAGGGTTACGAAAGGTCAAATGAACAAAAACAGGAAGAGAGTCAGAAAAAGAGGAGAAGCATTGTCTACGTTAGTAACTCTCCAAAAGTGACTTGATTGTCCCAAATTGTTTTTTTTTTTCAAAATGATCGTCATTTCTTTCTTTCTTTATTTTTTCAAATAGCAGAGTGATGGGATTTTACAAATGATTTCCAAACTAATATTCTGCTCATCACGCGGAGTCAAATTCTCACAATGCAAATGTAATCATGCAACCTAAACATTAAATAAGGAGTTCACAAAGCTCAGTTTTTATGACAGTTTTTAAAATGTACAAAAGCATCATTGTGTCTGGATGTTGACATCTGGACAACATATAACAGGTTTTAGGGATGTGGTTGGAAACATTCAAACTGAACACACTCAGATGGGGCAAAATGAACTTCAAGAGAGGGACAGTTCATCCTGGAGAAGTCTGCTTCTGTCACTACAACACAACAAAACTAAAGTTTGCTATAGGACGACCGAGTCCATGGAACTAAGACGAATGGCCGTGAAGATAACGGAAATCAATGACGAACACCTGAAGACTTGAAATCCTTTAAAGCAGGCTGCTCTGAAAAAGCTCCATTTGCATTTTTAGTGTTTGTGGTGCAGATCAATCAGAAAGTTAGCAGCAGCTACACAAACACACCTTAGAATATCTCAGCACAAACATTTGTGTGACTTTAATCAGAATATCAGAGTCCAGTCATGCTGTGACAGAGGGCACGGGGGTGTTTCCAGCACTCTGCCAGTGCACTTTGGTGGCCTGACATAGTGCACAATGTAGCATTAATCATCGGGCTGCTGCATCAGCTGTAAGTGAGACTGTTTTTGCTGTTAAACTGGGAAGACTCACCTCAGTGAAGAACACAGAGAGAATAGCCAGGCTGATCCAGTGGAGGATGCTAGCACACTGTAATGCATTATTAACTGTGGAATAAAACAGAGGAATCTACTATTTTTATTTGTCAGCAAGTGTTGAAAGACAGAAACCAGATTTTACCAGCTGAAGTAGTCACAAGCTGGATAAGATGGAAAAATAAATATCCTGGTGCATGCACATGCAGACAGAAAGATAAAGTAACATCATAAATGTTAATCCACCACATGTGCGTGCATGCATCTGTATCTTTGCATCTATTCATCAGGCTGAAAGGGAAAAGCATCCAACTGCAGTGGTGACATTTGTCTGCAGGTGCCAAATCTCCTCTTTGTCTGTCTTTGTTTGCTGTGTTCAGTGAGTTGTCTATCAACCAATTTATCATCTAGAAGCCCACTCTGCATTACATGGCTGTACCTGTACCTGCTGTACCCCAACACATTTGTCTTACTTGTCCATTCAGGTGGTTAATCACTCAGTCATTCCCAAAGGAAGAGTAACAGAAATCAAACAGGCCATCACCCCTGACTGTCAGCTCATGACAGATAAAGAGATTGCTGCTATACAGCAAACACAACATCACAACAACTAGCCGCCTGACGTCTTTAGATCCAAGGGAGGAAAGATTAGAGCATCTGAAGAAACTTGGACGTAATGAGATAATTTGAACATTTAGCTATGTATAGTCATTGCTCTTCCTTGTTTCATAAGATAAAGGGCACATGCAATCGATTAAGATTGAGATTAAGAAACTTTTATTGTCATACCAGTTCACATTTACATGCTTGTGATACAAAATTTGAACTCAGGACCCAGTATAAAGCCATAGGAAAAGAGCAAAAAGCACTAAGGATAAAAACAAGTACCGAGCTTGACATGTACAGTATTCCATAGATAACTAAATATGATAAATGTGTGTGTGCAAGTGAAATTAGTCCACTCTAAAGGTGCTCTCAGTACCGATGTGTGTGTATGTGGGGGGAGCTCTACCGAGCATGGCCAGAGTTTAACAGTCTGACAGCTTCAGGGAAGAAGCTGTTTCTGAACCTGGTGGCCCTGCTCTGGATGCTCCTCAACCTCCTGCCTGAGGGGAGGGGTTGGAAGAGTCCATGTGCAGGGTGTGTGGAGTCCTTCATGATGTTGAGGGCCCTACCCCTACACCGTGTTGTGTAGATGTCTGTGATTTCGGGGAGGCCGCTCCCCACAAGCCTCTGGGCAGCCCTAACCACTCTCTGCAGAGCTTTCCTCTCAGCGACAGTGCAGCTACCATGCCACACAGTGATGCAGGTGCGCATGACACTCTCCACTGCACCATGGTAAAAGCGCCTCAGGACTGAGCTCCCAAGTCCAGCTCGCCACGGCTTCCTAAGGAAGTAGAGACGCTGGTGAGTTTTCCTGACGAGCCAGGAAGTGTTGGGGCTCCATGTGGGGGTGGGGGGGGGTGGGGGGTGGGGGGGCACCGGTTCCTTCTGAAGTCCACCACCATCTCCTTGGTTTTCTTCACATTGATGCAGTGATTATTTTCTCTGCACCACTGCACCAGATGTTCCACCTCCTCTCTGTACTCTGACTCATCGTTGTCAGTGATGCGTCCTACTTCTGTTGTGTCATCCGCAGACTTCACGATGTGGCAGCTGGGATGTCTCGCCGAGCAGACATATGTCAGCAGAGTGAACAGGAGGGGGCTCAGCACACAGCCTTGGGGTGTGCCTGTGCTGAGGGTGATGGAAGAGGAGATGGTATTGTGAATCCTGACAGTCTGTGGTCTGTCAGTCAAAATGTCCAGCACCCAGTTCCCCATTATGGGGCTCAGTCCAAGAGTGGAGAGTTTCTGTACCAGAGTCCGTGGGATGATGGTGTTGAAGGCAGAGGAAAAATCCAAGAAAAGCAGATGGACATATGAGTTCCTGCTCTCTGAGTGAGAGCTGTGTGGACCACTGATGAGATGGCATCATCAGTGGACCGGTTTTTCTTGTAAGCGTACTGGTGAGGGTCCACAGTGATGTCGATGGAGTCTTTGATGTGAGCCATAACCAACCTCTCAAAGCACTTCATGACTACAGGTGTAAGAGCCATGGGTCTGTAGTCATTGAGGCATTTCACTGTGGAGCACTTTGGGACCAGAACAATAGTGGCAGTCTTTAGTCAGGTGGGGACGGATGCCAGAGACAGTGAGGTGTTAAAAATGTCTGACAGCACCCCAGACAGCTGGTGTGCACAGTCCCTCAGTACTCGCCCAGGGATGTTATCAGGGCCAGCAGCTTTGCAAGGGTTAATTCCTTTGAGGGTTTTAATAACGTCACCTGCAGACACACTAAGGGGTGTATCACCAGGTAATGGAGTGAGACTGATAGAGTGAGGGGGGGTGTCAGGGTCCTCAAAGCGGGCGTAGAACCTATTGAGTGTATCTGGCAGAGACGGGTCATTTGGGCGTTGTGCATCTTTGGTATTGTAGTCTGTGATGCACTTTATTCCCTTCCGCATGCTCCGGGTGTCGTTGGAGGAGAAATGCCTCTGGATTTTCTGAGCATATGTGGATTTAGCTCTTGCTATGCCTACCGCCAGTTCTTTCCTTGCCACTCTCAGTGCTGATGTCTCACCTGCCCTGAATAAGGCATCCCTGGCTTTCAGCAGACCTCTCACCTCAGCATTCAGCCAAGGTTTCTGGTTAGGGTGGCATGTTATTGTCTTGGTAATGGTGACATCCTCAGTACACTTGGAGATGAATCCAAAGACCGAGGAGATGTATTCCTCTAGGTCCACCTCTCCCTCTTTTGTTGCTGCTTGTCTGAAGACCAGCCAATCTGTGCACTGAAAGCAGTCCTGGAGCACAGATGCTGCATCAGTGAGCCACACAATGACAGTCTTCTTTGTTGGCCCAATCCTTCTCAGCAGAGGGCGATATGTTGGCACCAGCAGGAGGGAGACGTGGTCAGAGAGGCCAAGTTGGGGGTGAGGAAGAGCTCTGTATGCGCCACGGATGTTAGTGTATACACAGTCCAGCGTGTTGTCTCCTCGAGTAGAAATGGTGACATGCTGGTAAAAACTTGGCAGAATGTCCGTCAGTTTCACGTGATTAAAGTCTCCTGTAACCACATAAAACGCCTCAGGGTGCTTTGACTGCAGCGAGCTAATGGTGTCATATAGCTCCTGTTGCGCTATCCTAGCAATAGTGCTAGCGTTAGCACCCGGTGGGATGTAAACAGTGGTGACGAACACTGCTGTAAAGTCTCTTGGCAAATAGTGCGATCGGCATTTTAACGTCATTAGTTCTATTGCCTCGGAGCAGTAGCTTTTCACCAGCACACAGTTTGTACACCAACCTCCATTCACGTAAGCACACAGTCCACCTCCTCTTGTTTTCCCTGACCTGTAGTTGCGGTCCGCTCTGAACAGCTGGAAGCCATCGATCTGAAAGGCTGAATCCGGCATGTTGTTATTTAGCCAGGTTTCCGTGAGACAAAGAACAGCACAGCACTTAATTTCCGTGTAAACAGTCTCAGGCGTAACAGATCCATCTTATTGTCCAGGGAACGGACATTTGCCAGGAACAAGGTAGGAATCGGTGGCTTCTTAGCCATTAATTGGGCCTGCGCGCCCGCCCGTTTTCCTCTCTTCTGTTTCCGGGCACATCGTTTACTCTTGCCTGCTGCTCCTCGCACTCTGCTACGCCACTCTGCAGTTCTCAGAAGCTGCAGTCTTCCAAGCATTGATTTTAAGTTGTGGGATATTGTGGTGGTCGAGCTTTTTCCGAAATCGATGATTTCGACCGAGCTGTACCTCACACGCAGATCCATCACAGAACCAGCGCCAGCAATGGCCTCAGATTTCTTAAAAAGTAAGGCTTAGTTCCGGGAGCTTGAAAAGCCGCTGCATGACTGTGCGCCGCCATCTTTCTCACTCCATAACCCAATACTCACATTCTGCAAACCTTCGTGCTAACCTGTGGGTCTATTCCGCCTCTATAAACACTCCAAATGTGGAAAAAACCCTTCCATCTGTTTTCAGTCAGTGACTGGATTTAGGAATAATGTGCGTAAAACGAGCCGTTTCCAAAACTCCCAGCATAGAACCCTCTCTCACCGCTCCGGGCTGGAGGAGCAGTGGCTCCACTCCGAGCCACTCCCAGATTTTGGAGCTTCTCAGCTACTAGCAGTCTGTGTGGGGGATGGGTGGGCATGGCCAGCATCAACTTGTTTTCTTAAAAGTGACAGAGCCCTGAAATGGCTCATTCTGGATGGTGCTGAAAATGTCAAGAATAAAACAGATGAAATTGCTTTATGTGAGAGGGATTTTGTGCAAAATTGTCTCCTTTAATGTGCTAGATCCATTTTCAGTAACAAGTTTAGACACTTTCAAGCATGTTGGGTAATTTGTGTACTCTCAGACTGGGACAACTTCGATTGACGTCACTTTAATGAGCGTGGTTTGTTCCGTCACTTTAGATTAGCCGCAGCACCCAAATGATATCCACAACTTTTCATATATAAGACGGATCATATAGCCATGTCCTTACACATTTCCTTTTACCGATCCAATAGAAATTAACCATGTCACCAAGTGGGTGGGGCCAAGCTAAGGATAAAAACAGATGTAGAAGACTCAGGGTCCTTTCGACTGATGACTACAGGGGGTTTCAGGGGGCCATGTTTCTATGCTTTTTCTATCTAAATCCATTTAAACCAACCTGCTGAATAATGGTCATTTTTGGGAATGTATCAGGAACAGAGTTACAGTGTGACCAGTCTTCCTCCCCTGGAAGTAAAGAACCAGGAAAGTAAGGTCCACTATCTGGAGATGATCCAGGCAAGAAAGGAGCTTTCTACAAACCTTAAACAATAACAAGCATTAAAAAGATTTATTTAATCAAATTAACCCTTTGATGCATGAATTATGAAATCTTCAACCATGATTTTTGTAACATTTTTTTTCATTTGTCTTTAGGTGTGAATTAAACAAATTTCAACAAATATCATTTGTAAAATTTTATAATTTACAAATAATTTATTACATGTCCACCTCAGTGGACAGCATGCATTTTGAACATGAAATATGTTGGCTTGACTTACTGAAGTCCAAATGGTGGGGCTCAAATGCAATAAAGTCTTCAACAGCTGTACTTAATAGCAAAAACAAATAAATAACAATTTTGAGTACCTGTCCACTGTAGTGACCATTATGCATCAGAGGGTTAAAGTAAAAAATAAAAACAACCCCAAAAAAATCCAGAATTAGCTTATGATAATAATGGCTGATGCATTTTATGTTATTACAAATAAAAAATAAAAATCCCAATCTATTGTCCATCCTGCTACCACTTCTATTAAATTAAATTAAATTAAATTAAATTAAATTAAATTAAATAGCTTCAAATCACAACAAGAGTAGTCTAAAGGCACTTCACAAAGTAAACATTCCAGTTACCAAACTTTTACCTCAAATCCTTTACAACCATAATCATCTAAATTAATAAATTGTTTCACTTTCAACAGTCACACAAATAATTTTAATTCTTTTTGCAGCACTGCTGACCCCCCATTGCCCTCATTTGTGCAAACCAACATCCTCAGAGTTTTCATCACCCATAATAAAACTGAAGTAGCTCACTGATTCTCTTCACTGCTCTCTCTCTGATCTCCCTGCAGCTTAACCTTTATGCTAATTAAGGTGTAATGAACCTGCTCTGTCTGCATTAGATCTTTGTGTTGACCCTGTGACTTTGAATATCGATTAGTAAACAGCTGTGTTCAGTAGATCACTTTATATTCTCTCCAAGGATGCTACGTTCAATCTAGACTGCTTCATCAATGTTACATTGATTAAACCTCAAACCATACTTCAAGAAAAAATCCAAAACCAACATCAGAATGTGAGTCTCATTTTATTGGTGTCCATGACTCACACTGCAACAGCTTGGTGTCTATTAGCAGCTCCAGGATCAGCAGCAGCACCACAAGGACGACGGAAGCCACCAGGAAGCAGTTGAAACCCGCTGACAGCAGACAGACCTGCCACAGCGCTGCTCGTCGCCCGCAGCATGGCTTCAGCCAGTTTGACCTGAGTTAAGGGGGAGACGGTGGGAGACACAGAGAAGGGGAGAAAAAGTAAATAATGTCTAATGTTTTATGCTTATTTCCCTCTCTCTCTCTGCTTGTTCCTTATCAGTGGACATTTTATAGCTGAAGATGTGTCAAACTGTGACTCACTGAGGCTTTCCCATCTTTTTACAAGTCTGCTTTCCCTTAGCGAATTATGCAGACGTGCTCTTTAGACGGATGGTGTGTGTTTGTGTTTGTCATCCTCCCTCTGATTCAGTACGGAGAAAGGTGTGGTCTTTACAGAGCAGCAGCTCTCTGCTGTGGAGCAAAACGCTTAAAGCCGGGTTCGTCAGAGGATGAAGGAAAAGGTGGTTTATTCAACTCTCCGGACAGAAAGAGGCAACTTGAGAGAGGAAGCTGTGAGTTCAAAAGCATTGGGATTGATCCAAAGGAAGGAGGAGGAGTTGAAGAAGGAAGAGAAACAAGAACAAAGAGACTTTCACTCAATGTGCTGTTACTCGTGTTTATTTTTTCCTGTTACTTTGTCTTTATTGCATACATCTACTTCATGGCTCAGGGTATGTGTCTCTGGTATGCGTAAGTGATATGTGACACAAATATATATAACACTCATATATGTGTTATAACGCTCATATAACACATGTGAAACAAGAAAACCATTTTCAAAACAGAATTTTTTTTACTTTTTGTAAAATATGAACGGCATCAGATCAGACATTTTGAAAATCATCTACTCCCTCTTTTTTCTGACAAACAAGTGAAAACTTTCTTTTAGAATTAAACAGAGAAAAATAATGCCAGAGACTTAAGCGATCAAATTCTGCTTAAATTAATTAAATTTAGAAGCGATGTTTGATATTGGCTTTTTTTTTTACAGATATCTGATATTGTTTAACTCTTAGGTTCCGATACAGATATATGCCAGGTCCCCCATGTTTAATTTGTCTCCAACAGCAACTGAATGACATTCTCCCTGAGAAAATCATGACAAACACTCTGTGACGCCTTTAAGCCACAGATAATTATTAAATTCACAATGAGAATAGTTTTTGTAGCGACATGAATGGCCTCGTTTGTGACCCAAAGGTCACGCTTCCTCAGCTGGTCAAGCTGTCCTGGCTGTACTTCTATTTACAGATTATCCATCACAGGAGACACAAAGTCTGCTGTAAACCATCTTTAATCTGACTGCCTTTATCTGGCTGCTGTTCCCTCCGCAAGACGAACGACACTTCAAGATTTAAAAGAATCATTTTTAATAAACTCTTTTCACTGTCCTATTACAAGGTTCATAAATAATCATCAAGGCTCATTATAAATGTATTTAATTACTGAAATGAATTATTATTCTTTGGTTAATAATTATTATTATTTATGATAATCAGTAATGTTTATCAGTGACAAGATGGTCATGTGCACATATACACACCATGCAGGACACAGAATTCAGGTTAAAGGTAACTGCTCTCACATGTCTTTGTTCCATGACAACAAAGCTTTCTATCTTGAGGGCGTGTTCTGAGGTATGTTAAAACCAAAAATCCTCAGTTCAAGTTCAGTTCTTGAGCTCACCAAAATTCTCTCCATGGCACGAGAGAGTCCAGAGTATCGGGTCGGTCGCTCGAAACCTCTACCGAAGCTTTTCTGTCATGCTGATAGAATTGCTTCAACAAGAAACGCCATCTGCAACAAGCTGAAGCAAAACTCCATCAGAGTTATTGATTTTTGAGGCTCAACCAGTTTCATCAGTCGTTGTGACCCGGAGACATCTCAGGACCGATTTGGTTGCACCACGGTTCTGCTGCCCACCTCGTGCTTGGGGGTCATCATCTCCTCCGGACATCTCGGATCCAAATGGGGGTCTCCCAACTGGGTGAGGTAGACACTTCCAACAGATTGCGTCTGTATGACTGTTTCTTATTAAGAAATAATTTAGCTTAGCTGCAAACCAAACTCTTTCACCCATAACGCGTTTTCTCTCTCTGAGATAGAAACCTTCTGAGACCTACATTCACACATCCAAACACACATTTAGGTTTTAGTTTTCATCCAGACACAGGTTGCTTTAATACCAAGTTTTAATACCAAAGCTTTTATAAATTGTTATTTATGAATTGTCTTTTAAAATTTCATCTTTAAATTGTTAGTAATAAATTCTCAACCTTTTAAACCTGACTCTTCTTTGAAATAAAACACAGAGTGGTGTATATTTGGTCACTGAACGAGCAAAGATTTCTTTGAATCTTCTGAATTAATAAATAAACTTTAGCTATTAATTTAAATCTCCTAAATTAAATATTAATCTTTTGATTAAATATAGACCAAGCCAGTTGGTGTATGAACTTCTATCAATTATATAAATTTCCGTGGATATATCCTGAGAAAGATCAAATGAATTGTAATGAACTTTATATATATATATATATATATATATATATATATATATATATATATATATATATATATATATATATATAATATAAGTTCATTACAATTCGTTTGATCTTTCTCAGGATTTAGCAAAGCTGAATAGCAAACAGCTTTAAATTCTAGTTACGTAGATTAACTACGGTACAGTTTGATTAATAAGATAATAAATATTACAAGTGAATTAATAATAAAAAAGTAAAACAGTTTTAGGTTTTGAAAATGGATAAAAGTGAGACATTGTTGTTACAATCTTTGTTATACTGTCAGTGAAAAACTTCATTTAGTGAGCGAGCACTCCCTACTCAGCTCTCACTGATGCCGTTTCCGTTTTCTCCACTGGACCTCTGCTCGGTGTGTTTACATCTTACATTTAGGCAAAAGGGAAATAATAAATGGATCATGAACATGCTGACTTTGCTTGTTCATGCCATAGAGAACATTTGTCTTTGGAAGTATCAATGTAAGGGACAGTGGCGTAGCACCAAATTCTGGGCCCTAGGTACAAGTCTTCTAGGTGGGCCCCCATGCCCAATTACTTAATATCTCTCTTCCACATTTTTTGTCATGCTATAAGACAAGATAATAAATATGATCTTAGTTTAACCTCTTTATTGAGCAAATACAAATGCCAGCATAATAAAAGCGAAATGCCCAAAATTCACATATAATTATTTTTATTTGCCAACAATGTGTTCAAACAAAAATCCTGGAATTTATTTTCCAGTAAATGCCGACTGACGGGTCTTCATGTTAGCAAAATCACTTATGAGATCTTTAAAGTCCAATCCTTTGGCTAATTGGCTTTCAATAGAAAGAAGAGCTAGGCTGTTCAGTCTATCCTGGGACATTGTTGATCTCAAATAATTTTTCACCAGTTTCAGTTTGCTAAAAGCCCATTCACCCCCAGCAACAGTCACAGGTAGTGTGCAAAAAATCCTCAGTCCAATACAAACTTCTCCAAAAATGCTCTGTAATTGCATCCTGTAGATGGCATTAAGCAGCTCAAGAGGAGACCGAATGTGTGGGAATGTGGCACCATATATTGTTCTCAGGTGTAGCATCTCATTCTCAAATTCAGCTGTGAGATCCTTGTAATATTTTCTCATCAGTGCCTGGCATGATATCTTTATCTGCTCTCCAGTCATGTCTGTCATGGTTCATGATGTTAAGCTTTGCTGATATATATTGATATATTAAATACATATGACATGAAATAAACCAGGTTCTCTCTGTGAATGTAATGTACTCTAAATTTTATAATCCCTGCATTATCAGCCAAATTATACGATTGTCTGTTTTCAAGATCAAATATAAAGAAATTTAAAATAGGCTTAAAATATCTAACCAAGTCAATAACAATCCTCTAACACCAGTGTCATCATGCTATATGAAAAACAGTGGCAGCTTCTCATTCCTGAGATTACCACGAATCCATCGATACCAAGTTTGTCCTGGTCCATGACTGGGAAGGAGCTGAAATATCCACACAGAGTGAACCTGTTTTTACTGCGAGGTCCGCGAATTAATTGGCGGTGGCCGCCCGCGATAATAATTCTGATTTATATATATATATATATTAATTAGTGTTTTCACTGATAACACTAATTAATTTATATTTGATCTTGATGGTGAAACTAAAGGCGTTTAACACTGAACACCTAACATGAATGCAGCTTCTGAGAGCTAGCTAATATCAGCTAAAACTGTGTTCTGCTGCTGCTGCTCACCGTCCTTCTACTTGCATCTGTTCAATTAATTTTCCTCCTTCTCCTTCTTTTCTTTTCTTTTCTGGAAGCCAGATTTCCCTTTCTTGGGAAAAGACATGACTGACTCTCCTGACTCCAGCTCTGGCTGTCGGCATCTGCGATGTCTCATAGCTGTACATGCGGCAGTGCAGCCCCTGGCCGCTGATGTGGACTAAACCACTTTGCACATTTTTAAGGGGTGATAGATGCCTCAGAGATTATTCAGTTATTATTTTTAAGGCGAAATTCTGTTTCTTAACCTCTTTATCCAGGTAAAGGGAAGTTTATTAAGACATTAAGTAAGTTGGGGGGAAAAACAACAACAATAAAACATTTTTATTCAAAGCTATCTCAGGGCCCCTCCCTGCAGTGGGCCCTGGGTAAACGGTACCCTTTCCCCCCCCCAGCCCGACGCCCCTGGTAAGGGAATGCTGGGTGTGTGTAAAAGTTACTTAGTTGATAAAACATAAGCAGTGTGAGCGTACACATGCTAAGCTAGGCTAATGGCTAAGCGCAACGCTAAGACGTCTGTAATAGTCAGTAATGTATTTTTTCTGTTTCTGTTTAATGTAGTTTTGGTAATAAAACATTTATAAATGTTTTCCTTTAAGATAGCAAGCCTTGGGTGAAGATTTTTGTATTTGTTTTTAGTTGGTTGTTTGCTGGCTAGCTAGCTACGTGCTGTCATGGACAGAAACACAGGGCAAGTTCCTAGTTGCATCATATAAATTTAAATTATCTCAAAAAACTAAACATCAGATATGTAATATTTTTAAAATATTGATAGAGAGGAGATGAAGCCGAAGAGTTTAATATGTATTAT